CTATATCTCAGCCATAAAATTCATAAATTCAGTGTCTCTAGTTTATGCATAAATTTTCTTACATTCTAGATGCTTCTTATTTACCAGCTGGTGATCAAATAATTTATCTACATTTTTAAATTTTAACAATGAAATGTCCTCTATTTCTTGTTACAGTATAACCAATACTTTTTTTTCATCAAAAAAAAAACAGTATAACCAATATAACTTAGCTTTCGGTTATCTTTAATATTCGGTTTAGTGTATTTTGTTAACTTAAACCGATTCCTAATTAATTTTAACCAACACAAATGTAGGCAATTGGAAGCAAAAGGTACACAAAAGAATGCAGAAGGGAAGGATCAAAGGAAAGGAGTTATATCAGCAATATTCAAAAGTTTGAAGTTGACCAAATCTAGTCATGTTTGACTTTGACCACTGACTTTTCAAATCTATCTTCTATTAGAGCAAACGCAGTGGAGTATTTTCTATGCGGGTGTGAGGATTAAAAAAAATATATATATTCAAATAGTTGGCATCAGGATGTTAACTTACAACTTGTTTGGCTTGGGTGTGAGATTACATGGCAGGCTGTGATTGGCTAGTTGCGAGAAAGCAAGAAAAAAAAATAATTTCTCTGAGTCTTTTTCTCTTTCTTCATTAAATTTCTAACTTTATTTTACTAATTTAATTTGCCTAAAGATGTATCTTCCAACTTATACCACTGCCTATGCTCTTAGTAGCAAACTCAATTCCATACGTGCAAACAACCTCACACGTGCGTTCCCACCGCAATGTTTGAGTTTTCTTTCAACAGAAGACGATATTTCTTTTTTATTATTATAACGTTAGATTGAGAATTCAAAGATTCTCGACAAATGGTAACACTTTTTTTTTTATATAAGAATCACAATTATTTATTTTAGTTATACAATTTTATAATGCTTGTTGCCTTGTTGGTGATAATAGTTGTTTATGTATCATTTTTGTAATTATTTTCCATTGGAATAATACTTTCTTGACTTTTAAATTTGGAATGTAGATTTATATGGAAACAAGTAGTTAATCATTTTTGTGACGCTAAATATGTTGTCCCATAACGACAGAAGAAAAAAATGAAACAAAAATGTTTGCTGGCATTACTCGATTTAGAGCAACAATTATTATGGAGACCAGATTGGTTCAAGAAAATGACACACAATTCATGGTTAGGAAGCTAACAAATTAAGCTTTGTTACCATTATATTGTTTATCGTTTCTTGCACCTTAACAATGTATTTAGACGTCAACAGAAATTTTTTGTATTGATGATCTGTAACCAATTATAATTACCCTTAAAAATTTATCAAATATAATTATTTATACCCTTAATTAACATGAACTAAACTTATAGGAAGAACAAAAACACTACTTAATAGAGGCCTTTTATGCATGTAGTCTTAGTTGCAACTGTGGATTGTTTTTTATTGGTTGAAATGATGTTTTAGTTTAGAAATAAATAAAAATTAAATGATTTATTAATTAATATGCAATAACCTTAAATACTAAATATAAATAAAACGGAGGTTGATTAGAGTAGTGTTTCACAACAACAACAAAAATACTACTATAATATAACATGGTTTTTTCTAGAAATTTTTTTTATATAACTGTTATATATTAAATCACTCATTTGCTATATCATTTATTAAAATTGAGACTTTTTATTTTGTTTCATTATAACAACATGACTTTCTAGAATCTAGTGACTCGTTGATTCATTCTACAAACCAGTTAATGCACCGCGTAAATTATTTTCACGTGCATGGTGCAGTGCATGAAGATGGAGCAAATTAAATACGAAACCAAACATAATTCAATACTAGTATTATCATCTTTTAAAATTTGTATGATTAATAATCTCTCAAATAAAAGGCCGCATGCATTGACTTGACTCTTTCAGTCTTGTCTTGCTTACTAATTAAACCCTCCATAATGCATCAAACTAATCATAACCGCTAACTTTCTGACTTGTGTTTGGTTAGACTTTAATGCTTTACTATCATCTTAGTTACGTTTGTGTTTAACCTCGCAAAAAATCTTCTAGAAGGATAATACTCCCTCTGTTTCAGAATATAGGATGTTTTAGAGTTTTTATTTTGTTTCAAAATATATGATGTTTTGCAACTTTCTATGCAGTTTTAAATGTATTTGATATTTTATGGTTGTTTGTATTCTGCAGTCTTTTCTCTAATTGGTTGAATTTTTAAAACCAAATATTAAATGATAGTTTTAAGAAAGCAAAATAAATTTTCTTAAAATGTGTGATTTCAAACAAAACTTCATATATTTTGAAACAGAGGGAGTACAATACAATGTTGGCTTTATCCATTATTGAGCTGTGTGAAATTGGTGTTGATTGTTTATTTTTTTAATAGTGATTATACATTTGTGTTTTCATTTGAGTTAAAATTTGTTCGTAATATTGGCAAATTAACATTGGATTTGTTATTGTATTAAAAACGCTTATATTTGGATTGCGAGTCTACGTAACTGTACAAACCACGTAACCAAGTAACTTTGAACGCAGAGTGGATACAAAATAATTGTGAGTGTGTGACACAACATAAAGCTTATACAGAAGCAGATTATCGGAGCTTATGGAGGAGATTATATCAAGATTAGCTAAAACGTATCAAGTCTTAGTGTTTGTCCAGAAAAAATAGGCAAGATAGTTTAAAACTACGAAAGATTAATGATTACGTGAAGTGAGATGACGAAGATGGATACAATAAAAATTTAGTTAATTCTATGTTCAATAAAAATGCTATGGAATGAGGTTACTATAGAATCCTTTATAGTATGAAAGTAAAACATTGGTTTTCTTTAATTTCTCTATGTATAGACTATAACTAATACCTGAAAGTAGAAAACTGGATTAGTAAATATCATATTTACACATTGCGAAGAAACCAATGTGCGCGCGGATACGTTAGCAAAATATGCGCATGGTTTAAAGTTCTGCTTTCTTTTTGTAATTCATATTTTAAAGTTCTGCTTTCTTTTTGTAATTCATATTTGGAAAAATTGGAAAAAAGGATATCTACTTAAAAATTTGTCCATATAACACTTTTTTTTGTAGATTGGTTAAATAGGTTTTTTAAAAAATCAAAACCCAACTTTACCCTCATTTTCACTCAAAATTAATTAAAAAATAAAACTTCCTAATTTATTTATAAAAACTAAATAGAAATCTAAAAGATTAAAACTTCCAATTGAGAAAGAGTCTTTCTTCTAATCCTAGACCTAATATAACGTTTTTTTTTCTTTCGTAGAAGAACACATATTGGAGTTGTAAATCAAAATTATCTCTTGGTAACTACAATCCCCACAGGGATTTGAAGAAACATATGTTGATGATTAATTTATGTATATTATTCCCAATATAAACCAAAGTTTGCAGAGACGTAAGATTCCATTATTTATTCTAAACTAAGATCAGTGATCATCAGCTGTACATGTACATAAAGAAGAAAGATATGAAATAAAAGAAAATTAAAGAAGAGACAAATGAAACCCACAAGTCATATAAGGGGCTGTCTGGTTTTAGATTGTGTTATTTGAATTCAAAGTATTTACATTTTTTGTTCTTTTTTTGGGGAGAGGGGGTTTCTCCCATCACGTCTATCAGCTTTAGGAACAAGCAAAAGGATCATGAAGCTTTTTAGAATTTGAAGGGAGACGTGTTCTTAGCATTTAAAAAAAAAAGTGGTGGACAACGACTTAGATGATTACAAACTTAGGGTTTAGAAAACGTTTTAGGTTTTAATTTTGTCTAAAAACGTAGACAACGACTTCTACATCTTGTAGATCATAATCTAAACAATAAATATCCATTTAAAACGTATTCTCAAAAATATATTTTGTTTCCTTCTCTAAAGATTTACTTTCTATATTTAGAGCATTCTAAAAATTTCAGAAAATGAAATCTACAACATCGTAGAATTTTCCTTCTAAACGAAGATTACAATTTCTAACGGCAGAAGATGTAGAAATTAGTAGAACGGCTATTCTAAAATATTTAGAATATAGAGTAAAGCGTAGAATGCATGTTCTAAATATTTTAGATATATGATTTTCGGACTTCTAAAATTTTCAGAACAGAAATCTAGTCTAAAATATGTAGAACATGTACAAAAATGCAGAATACACACTCTGAGTTTCGCAGAACTCTAGAAAACGTGTTCTAACAAAATTAGACGAAACTTTATCTATAAAAAAATCAATTTTTTTTAACCAAATCTAAAAAATTTCACTACAAATCACCTCTACTCTTGTATATCTACCTGTTTTTCTGATTATTTTTTTTAAAAAATATTTAAAATAGGGTGTAGGGGTAATTTCGTCCAAAGTTACAATCTCATCAAAAAAGTATATATGGACAAAATTTTTAGTAGATATCCTTTTTTTCTAATTTTCCCTTCATATTTTATAGTTAGTTAGGAAATAATTCACACTGAGACTTGGCGAAGCCTCATAAAATGAAGATATGTATGGAATATGAAGTTTGAAATAATGGAAAATAACTTGTAAATATTCATTGTTATATAGGTGTGTAAAAGGTACGTTATATATATATCTATATATATATATATATATATATATATAGGTTATATATTTATACATAAGATTAAAAAACGTACGTAGATGATAATTAATGGCGGTATTTTGGTGTTAACATTGATAAATTTAGAGGAAACCTTAGTAGTAGAACAGTTTCTCTTAGTTTTATTCATTAGACAATAAACTTATTTATACAAAGATATATTACTTGTCTAGCAAGTTGTATATATTTATGATAATAGTAAATCTATCTAATTAATAATAGAAAGATATACACAAATATTAAATTTCCTAATAATAATATGGGAATATATTTAACATTGGTCTCGTAATCCCGAGATCTCCTGCAAACATATATATGCAGTTTAACTTTGTGAAAGATAGAGAAAGCTCATTTTTGTTCTTTACTACATGGTTGCTATACACCAGGGTTGAACTTTAGAATACTTAAAAATCGGTTTAATTATTCAACTAATAGAGACTACTAAAATATCGACACCTTTTTTTCATTTTTTGGGTCAAGCATCGAGATCTTTTATGTTCAAGAAAATGATCGCAATAATCGAATAAAATAAAATATAATGTTTCTCTTGGACTAGTTAAAATATAGTATTTGCGACAGATTTCGATCTAATCATTATATCTTACCATTTAACCAAGAGATCACAAAACATTGTCGACTTGTAAGTCAAGTACAAAACGAAAACGATCACAATGTCGAGTAGATGAGTTGGTCATTTGATCCAACGGCTCTGAGTCCACGAAACACGCAACCAAGTGGTAGTCTCTTTTACACCTGATCCATATTATAAAACTTAAAAAGAAAACAAGAGAGGATGGTTCGTTGGCTCCTTCTTGTTCCCTTTAATTAATTCAAATTTTATTCATCACCTCCATTGAAAAAGTCCCCTTGACGACAAAGTCACCAATGCTTCTCTCATATGTATATATACATCTTTCCACTCTCTCTTCTCTACTCAAATCAAATCCTCAACCATCTTCTTCTTCCTTAGCTTCTCTATTTTCTTAAGTCTTTTTAAAGTTTTATCAATGGCCACTCCTAACGAAGTATCTGCACTTTGGTTCATCGAGAAACACCTACTCGACGAGACTTCACCGGTGGCTACAGACCCATGGATGAAGAAGGAATCATCAGCAACGGAATCTAGCTCCGTTTCTTCTTCTATGCTCTTCCAATCATCATCGTCTTCTTTCTCTCCAAATGATTTCTCTGAATATGAATGCAAACCGGAAATCATTGATCTCGATACACCGAGATTCATGGATTTTATATCGATTCCATTTGAATTTGACTCCGAAATTTCAAATCAAAATCAAGTTGAACCGGAGATTCAATCTCAAATTCGTAAACCGCCATTGAAAATCTCGCTTCCAGCTAAAACAGAGTGGATCCAATTCGCACCTGAAATTACCAAACCGGAAGTTACTAAACCGGTTTCAGAAGAAGAGAAGAAGCATTACAGAGGAGTGAGACAAAGACCGTGGGGGAAATTCGCGGCGGAGATTCGTGACCCGAATAAACGTGGATCTCGCGTTTGGCTTGGAACGTTTGATACAGCGATTGAAGCGGCAAGAGCTTATGATGAAGCAGCGTTTAGACTTCGAGGATCGAAAGCGATTTTGAATTTCCCTCTTGAAGTTGGGAAGTGGAAACCACGCGCCGATGAAGGTGAGAAGAAACGGAAGAGAGACAACGATGAAGATGAGAAAGTGACTGTGGTTGAGAAAGTGTTGAAGACGGAACAGAGCGTCGACGTTAACGGTGGAGAGACGTTTCCGTTTGTAACGTCGAATTTAACGGAGTTATGTGACTGGGACTTAACGGGGTTTCTTAACTTTCCGCTTCTGTCTCCGTTATCTCCTCATCCATCGTTTGGTTATTCTCAGTTGACCGTTGTTTGATTTTTTTTTTTAGTTTTGGCTATGTGTATGCTGACGTGGACTTATGGTACACGTAGGTGCATGCGATTAGAAAAAAATATATATATATTTGTTCATATTTTTGCTTATTTCTATTTGTTCATTCTTTTTCACAAATCACAATACATTCTTTCAGTTAATGGTCACGTTAATTTATTTATGAGTACTAGAAGAAATCGAAAAAAGAAAATAAATTCGGAGTAATTCAACCTACAAACAATCATCAAACAAAAAAAAAAAAAATCAACCTACAAATTAGAGTAGTATAATGTCAATTGCATTGACATTAATTGAGGAATTATAGTAGAACCTAGTATAAAAAGAATTATTCAAACATGTGAAATTGACCGGCGTTATGTAAAGTTGTTGAGACAATAAATGCATAAACGTGATCCTGTCTGAAGTCTGAACAAGTCGATTCTTAATGGATAAACTTGGTCAAAACGATTTCGCACGTGGTTAGACTTTTGCGTAATTAGTAAAATACTTGACGACTGTGAAAGCCATGCATGAATGTATCCAGAAGAATATTTATCTTCCACGGCGAAATCTCTACGTATTTTAGAGCAACCCCAATGATATTTCTAGAGGGTTTCTTAACCGTAGAATCCTTAAAAAAAAGCCAAAAAATAATTCAAAACTGACAATTAATCTAAGGAACGTACCTTAAATAAGAGTTTTTAGAGGTTGTAAGAGTCCATACGTGTCACTGTCTTATTGTGTTTGTTTCGAAGCTCGACTCTCTCTTCTCTCTTGTTTCATCCGATGGCGAAAGCAGATGAGATATGTCTCGATCATCATCATCCAAAGATCGGAAGAGAAAAGCCAAGCAACTCGTCCCTCTTCCGCTGTGATCATCATCTCAACCGACGGTGCTCACCATCTTATTGATTGTAGAAATTGATTGCAATCTATATCCCGTCCTTTAATCATCTATTGCTTGTAGAAATTGATTGGTCTCTCACTTATATCTCTCATAGATTAAATCATTGACCAGTATTTCGTATGATTGATATTGAAAGTCTGCACATTGATTTTAGGGGTTTTGTTTGATTTGATGATTTATATGGTGGAAAAAGAGAAGACTTTTCAATGGATGAGAAAATAGAGAGACTGATATTGGTTTTACTTTACTTTTGATGTAGCTGTTGATCTTATGTCTTCTAAAGTATGTGGCATTGGACTATTGAACATCAAAGCACAACATGTGTTTTACCCTTTTGAGAGAGATAAATTCAGATGTCGTTATGATATTTTGCATCAATATCTCTCTTTTTTCTTTTCAAAGTAGAGCAATTTACTAATTCCATTGTATATCGTATTCACATGTAGAGTATAAAGATAACATAATGGGTCAAACACGATATGTTTTTGTTTACTAATTCCATTGTTTACTGTTCTGAATTGCGTTGTGTTTCGGATTGCAATATGTTTTTGTTTGTCCAGGTGAATGAGACTTATGATTGCTGGTACACATTAGGGATCCCAAAGATAAAGCTTTATCGGAATAGCTTTTTCGGTTGCCAAGCAAATGATCTTTCTTTCACAGACATTATTAAGCAATACTCTAATGTGTAAGTTCTTATCTTTTCTCTCATTTTATACATTTTTCATCATAACTAAGCACATACACACTACAGGAGAATCATGAAGAAAAATCATAATAGCCATGATAATTAGTAATAGCACAACGATTGCGGTGTTTGTTTAGTTTGTCAATCATGTCTTGTCTGGGCGCTGTTATTCACCGAATTGATCCTCTTTCATTGGTTCTTTTTTCTCCAGAATCTCTTAACTTTTACAGTCATGGCTTAATGGAAAAGCAACACCAAAGTACTGGAAAGATGATGTGATTGCTGGCATTGTCTCTGGCTTCGCAACTTCCATAATCACAGTCTTCATCGTACGGATCTTACGACATGTAAAATCTTGGTTCCCTCGAGCTTGTTGTTCAGTAAAGAGCCAGTTTTCTAAGGTGAATCTCTTGGTACAAGTGAAGCGGTGCATGTTTGCTTCTTGTTTATTTCTCGGTTCTCGGATGAATGGCGATACAATACTTGATGGATTAGAAGAAGCTACATTGTTTGGTTCCTAGGTTTCATCTTCTTGATCAGCTTGCTTCTGTGTCGTCAGTGTCCTGTTAGCTAAGTAGATACTTTTGATGGATTAGAAGAAGCTACATTGTTTGGTTCCTAGGTTTCATCTTCTTGATCAGCTTGCTTCTGTGTCTTCACTGTCCTGAAGATGAGAAAGAACAAATTTTTTTTTTTTTTAAGAAATCCACTTAAGGACTCTACCATTGGACAAAGAAAATTTTAAGGATTCATCACAAACTCTTAACTTTAAAATTGTTATAATATATAATTAAAATATGTTTAAGAATCCTTTTAAGGATTCAACCATTGTTGTTGCTCTTAGTATTTTAGATTTGACGACATCTATTTCTCTTTTGGTTTTCAGGTTTGACATCTAATTTGCTAAGAACTTTTTCTTAGATTATTATAATCGAAGAATTTTGTTGGGTCTTGTAAGATATTTTCAATACACACTATCTCATTAAAGCACTTAATGGGCCTTGTGGTCTAACCATCTAAACTTTGAATATATTATCTTTCTTTAAGGAAGTCGCGAGAAGTTCTGGATGTCTAAGAGCATGATTAACAATGGTATCTTAAAAATATTTCTTAGAAGTATTAAAGTAATAATATGACATGTGGTTGGTTCTTAAGATTAGTTTTGGATCTTAGCTAAGCCACTTTTTTTAGTTTTGGATCTTAGCTAAGCCACATTTTTTACTTAAGAATTCTTTAAGATACCCTTGTTAATGGTGGTCTAAGTTCAAAACCAACCTGTCACCGAAACACAAAAGATAATTGAAACTATAAATAAACTTAACCAAAAATTATTAGTTTGATTTTTACTCCGTAGATGAAATCGGGGTTTTCTAAAGCGTTTACAAAGATAACGCTAATCAAACCAAAATAGTATAAATAGTTTGTTACGAAATTTTGCTAGGAAAGTAACCGACTATAAAATAGATTACATACTATTAAATTTAGCATGCTAACATTATTCTATAGACTACCAATCAGGTAAGAATCGTTCGTCATCATACGACTATTCAATATCCAAACAAATTTTATTTGAAAACCCGACCCACGAATCATGGTTAGCTTTACATCATTATCCACACATATATACTCAAATTGTAATGGAAGACACTATGTTATCACGAATGTGGATCATCATGCACTTCAGGTTACCTAATTATCCTACGTGGACTATACCTAATCCTTCCATAATTTCCAATTATTGCATATCATTTTTCTAAACGTCATCATTTCCAGTAACGAATAATCATATCCTCAATTAACGCAAACCTAATTATACCATCTCATCGTTATTTACATACACTTTTGTGGTAAAAATCTGCTTAGAAAAAGTAAACCTTTACATATATACAAAATAGTTGAGGGAAATGTTATCCGATCCAATGTCGTCGAAAATTGTAACCCTATTTTTTCGTCGAAAATTGTAACCCTATTTATTTGCCCAACATGGCAACATATCTGTTCCTATTGAAGGTACAAATTAAAAAGGATCGAAATGAACTAAAATACTTTTAAACAGAAAAGACAAGGAATCTAAGAGCATGATAGCAATGGAATAAGTGCAAGGATTTGTCTTTAAAGTGATTAATTATTAAAATAATGTAAGACAAAAATACTGGCTTTAAATGAGTATATGTAAAATAAAAAGGTGAAGCGTAATAAACAAATTATCTACGTTGTGGGAACGCGTGAGAACACGGAGCTAACAAATTATCCAATCAAAACGCGCCATGTGACGCTAACACTCTCCAAGGAAAGAGTATAACTTAACACTCGGATATACATAAAAGTGGACTATTCTGATTATTTTGGATTTTTAAATTCTAACACCCAATCAAAAGATGTACCGATATGTATGGCCTAAGCCACCAAGGCCCATGTCCACGTGGCTCCAGCAACGACCAGATGCTTTATTATCCCACTCTTGTGGATTATTACGTGAGATACACGCTTCACATAATAATCCCACTCTTGAACCACACGCTTCACAGAAACAGAATCCATTGTAAGAAGAGTATTTACACTACATACCCTAAGACCACAAAGTATTTAAGTCAAAGGAGTAGTGGCATTTTCGTAAATAATTTGTGTGTTTGGTTTGTCATGAAAAGACCAGTATACCCCTATGCTTGTAGAGTCTAGCAGTTGCACCCAGACATAATTGCGAAACGAAACCCTCGGCTTATGTGTCGTTTGATATTTGTTAAAAGCGACAGTTTCGCTTTTGCATTTATTGATTTCGTTACTTTTCTCTCTGTTGAAATTTGAAATCTCCGTTCTTCTCCCTGTTAAAAACATATATATCACGACACCAAAGCATATAATGGGATGGGGAAAAGATATCGTGGTAAGATATCTCGTAGCTGTGATTTCTTGTCTTGCCATAATTACTTTTGCATTTAATGCTACTCCTGTAGCAACTTCGGGCAGAGAGAATTGCCAAGCTCGATACTTCTGTAGGGTCCGCCCCGATTACCGTGTATCGGATAAACGCATATATATCCAGATATGTATCTCTGTTGCAACACACGTATCTCTACGAGCATTAAATAAGTGGGGCCCAAAGGATATTTGCACGAAATTCTCGGAGGGAAAATTCCCGCAATTTAATTCCGAATCTTTCGTGCCACAGTCTGTAAACGTATAACGTGATACGAAGATATATATCAGGACACTAAAGCATATAAAGGGATGGGGGAAAGATATCGTGATAAGATATCTCGTAGCTGTGATTTCTTATCTTCCCATAATTACTTTTGCATTTAATGCTACGACATGTATCTCTGCGAGCATTAAATAAGTGGGGGCCCAAAGAATATTTGCATGATATCCCTGTCCCCTACGAAATTCTCGGAGGGAAAATTGGCGCAATTTATTTCAGGGGTATTTTGGTCTTGTTTTTTTAAAAACAAATATTTCTCTCTCTTGTTTTGCAAACAAAAAAACTTATGTATGCCACACCTAATTATTTCTCAAATAATTGCTATGCAGCTAATTGATTCTTGTAAGAAGCGTGAGGAAGAGAGAGCCTCTTTCTGAAGGAGAGGGATTGGATCATTGAGATATATCCGTTTATTCATCCTTCAACTCCTGAAGATTCCTTCGTACCGACAATTCTCTTGAACTTGTTAAAGATTCTCTGAGACATAACTATTTGATTCCTTTTTCCCTGCATTTTTCGTACACTGTTTTTGCTTATAACTTTTGTATTAAAATTAAAAATCATGCCACTATATATCGTGTAGGTTTATATCCAAAAGCTTTGGAATATTTTATCATTGGCTTGATAGTTGATAATGATAGGTAATTGATATTCTTACCAAAAATCTATACTAGTTTCTTTTTGTAACATTAAACGTTATTTAAAATTGGGAAAATTGGATATAAAGGATATCTATTAAAAAATTTGTCCATATATCCCTTTTTTTTTGTAGATTGGTCAAATAGGTTTTTTAAAAAATCAAAACCCAATTTACCCTCATTTTCTCTCAAAATTAATTCAAAAAATAAAACTTCATAATTGATGTTATAAAATTAAAATACAAATAGAAAAATCACAAACCTCCAAATGAATAAGAGTCTTTCATAAGACCTAAAAAAAACTTCGGCTTTGGAATCTCACATTTTGCAACAATAATGCGGCTTTGGACTTTTGATACTAGGTTGGTCTTTTTCTAGTTGACGTGTGAGGCTATTGTTCTGATATAAATTGACCAATCACTTCTTCAAAGGTTGGATATAGAGGAAATAACATTTGATCCACGAGGCTCATTCATATGAAATAATCTAACAATCTACAAAACATGGTTTGAAGTTATTAACTTAAATCATTAGGGTTATTATCGTTACACTTACCAGTCATCAGGAGAAGATTGATTATGATGAACACAAACATTAGAGACGAACTCAATAACAAAAAATGATCATAAGTAGAAGTGAATCCAAAGTTCAAAACAAAACCGGGAACATAACTAGTACTGAATCCATAAATTAAAACACAAAAACACCGTAGACAACAACTTCTACATCTTGTAGATCGTATCTAAACAATAAATATTCATTCAAATCGTAATCTAAAAAAAAAATTTGTTTCTTTTTCTGAAAATTTACTTTCTATATTTAGAGCATTCTAAAAATTACAGAAATCGAAATCTGCAATACCGTAGAATTTACATTCTAAACGAAGATTACAATTTCTAACGATGGTAGAAGATGTAGAAATTATTAGAACGGCTATTCTAAAATATTTAGAACATAGAGTAAAACGTAGAATGCATGTTCTAAATATTTTAGATATATGATTTTCGGATTTCTAAAATTCTCAGAACAGAAATCTAGTCTGAAATATGTAGAACATGTACAAAAATGCAGAATACATATTCTGAGTTTCGCAGAACTCTAGAAAACGTGTTCTACCAAAATTAGATGAAACTTTATCTATCAAAAAATCAATTTTTTAAAAACCAAATCTAAAAAATTTCACTTCAGATCACCTCTACTCTTGTATATCTACCTGTTTTTATGATTATTTTTTTTAAAAACATTTAAATTAGGGTGTAGGGGTATAATCGTCCAAACTGACAATCTCACAAAAAAATGTGTATATGGACAAATTTTTAAGTAGATATCCTTTAAAATTTGTCTTGGATATAAGTTATTATATCCCTTTTAACAATTGTATAAAACCTCTAAAACATTATATATTGTAAAAGATAGACACAACACGTAGCTATATGTCTTTATCCAAAAAAAAAAAAAACACACGTAGCTATATATATGATGTAATTAATATTAGAAAAATGTACATATATTAGGGTTGTAATATCTGGTCGGTTGAAAATTGAAATCGTAGCTCAAAAAGAAATTCACGTGTATTTTGTCTTTGATTGAAAGATATTAAAACTGTTCTTCTCTTTCTTTTTCTCATTTCTCACTTAACCACCACTCGATCCACTTGACACCACACATTATAAGTGTGCCTCAAAAAAATCTAACATTATTCACTCAAACACATCTCTCTTTCTTCTCTTTCACTCTCTTATTTAAGATTTAAATCTGCTCAAATGCTTGTAAACAAATTCTAAGTTCTTTAATCTATTTCCCTTTTTGAGAAACCTTTTTTTTTTTTTTTTTCCAGATATAGATCTTCTTGATCTACAATGGATTCTGTTTCTCTTTCTGAGGTTACTGCCATTAGAAGAACACATTTGGGTTTTATGCACAGTTTCAGACAACCATTTTCTGGTGTTCCAATACCTCCAAAGTTCTGTTCCTCCAAAGGTAATAATAACACTTAAAATTCATCACTTCCTCTTCACAACAAGAATCTTAGTCTTTTTAAGAAAATGACTTTCTTAAATTCTTTGCATTTGGATGAGAAGTTGGTGGACCAAAGGCAACATTGTCAAGCAATACAAAGAGCCAATCTGTTTATGGAGGAAGCATAGCTGCAACTTCAGATTCAGGTTACAAGATCAATGGAGTAAACCTAAAAAGCAGAACATTGATCAGTTCTGTTAAAGAAAGATTATTACTTGATGCTTATGATGATGAGTATGGTGGAGTAATAGTTGATCATGGAAAATTACCATCAAACCCTTACGCTTTCGCTTCTATGCTTCGAGCTTCTCTATCCGATTGGAGAAGAAAGGTAAACTAAAACCCTATAAAAATCTTTAAAACCTTTAACTAAAAAGTAATTTATCTTTACCAATCTGTTAATTTTGGGAAAAAAAAAAATTGTAGGGAAAGAAAGGAGTTTGGTTAAAGTTACCTCTGGAACAATCAGAATTAGTCCCAATAGCTATAAAGGTAAACAAAAAGAAAATGGTTCTTGATCTTGTTTGATAAAGCAGAGTTAATTTGTTTTTGCAAGTTAATGATATTTGGTTGATTTTGCAGGAAGGTTTTGAGTATCACCATGCAGAGAAACGATATGTGATGTTAACATATTGGATACCAGAGGAGGAACCTAGTATGCTTCCTGCAAATGCTTCACATCAAGTTGGTGTTGGAGGTTTTGTATTAAATCAACATAAAGAGGTATGAATATATGAATGATGATTCTCTCAAAGTCTCAACACTTCAAGTAGAAGTGGTAAAAAAGAAGAGTTACCTGATTTGTTTATCTTTTCTTATATCTCATTAGGTGCTTGTGGTACAAGAAAAGTATTGTGCTCCATCAATTACAGGTCTTTGGAAGTTACCAACAGGGTTTATTAATGAATCTGAAGAGATTTTCTCTGGTGCTGTAAGAGAAGTCAAGGAGGAAACTGGGGTAGTTAAATCCGAGAACATTAGTATATAATATAAATCTTGATTTTTGTTTAAAATTCGCAAGATCATAACCATGTATGACCTTGTGTTGTGTTCTTCAGGTAGATACAGAGTTCTCAGAGGTTATAGCTTTTAGACATGCTCACAACGTTGCATTTGAGAAATCTGATCTGTTCTTCATCTGTATGTTGAGACCACTCTCTGATAAGATAATCATCGATGGTCTTGAGATCAAAGCCGCAAAGGTAAAATGTAATAAAAAATTTGCAGTTAGAGTCTCAAACAATTTATTGGAATGCTCCAGTTATACATGCTACAAGACGGCCCTGATTACAATGATTGTTGTGTGTTTTCAGTGGATGCCTCTGGCGGAATTTGTGGAGCAACCGATGATAAGAGAAGACAAAATGTTTAAGAGAGTGATTGAAATCTGCAAGGCGAGACTAAGGCATCGGTACTGCGGTCTTTCTCCTCATAGACTTGTCTCTACTTTTGATGGCAAACCTTCTTCTCTCTATTACAACGTTGTTGATGATGATCATGATCCTTCCCACTCCAATTGTAACACTGATTATTTATAAATAGACGGATCAAACCGAACCAAATCAAGTGGTTCGATCCTGTAAATACTTATTCTCATGTAATGTATGTTGTTATTTATTGATACTCTCTTCTCTTCAGTATAGTAAATAGTAATAGTTCCTTTGCAAAATCCATGTCGCATTGAACCGGTCTGAATTCTTGATAGATTTCCCACTCTTAATAAACTTTACAATATAAAGATCTGTTCAAATAAATGACCGGTGGGTCAACACAAGTTTACATAATATTCAAACTCTTGGACTGACATATTCAATGCATATAATATACATGTAAACCAAGTTGTAATTTTAATCCATAGAAGAAGACATTATTGCAATGGACTAATTCAACTAAATCAAGCCAAACGTGTCAAGATCCTGCACAAAAGATCTGCTTCTCTCTCAAACCCTGAGCACAATAGACAACATACCATTGTGGTGGAACGTTTTCAAGAATTTGAGTGAAAGTTTAAAAGTCTCTCGTCTGCACTAAATTTTCAATAGGTGGCTGAGCTAGCACAGCTTGAATGGGTAATATTCTCTTCTTTTCTAATTTGTGTCGCATCTCTTATGATTTTTTATTAGTTTATTTCGAATAAGCGTGCATAGAGAGCTTGCAGAAATTAAAGAGATTGGTTAGTGATATGATAATTTTGATATCACTAAACTCTACAATAATCTTTTATCACTTATTTTTTTTTCTTGATTCGTGTTGGAAAGAGGAGTATTTACACAACCTGGAGAAAAATCTTGAGGCTTTGGAGATGAAGGTGGAAGCCCTCAAAGCAATGATAAATGAATTGTTGAAAAGGTTGTCCAAAGAAGAGGACAGAATGCTACCTAAAGTTATAAATTGGATTTCAATTGCACAAGAGATTGTATCCAAGGCCAGTGGTCTCCTTGATAAGAGTATCTCAGAACGTTATAAGTTATCCAAGTATGATGATCTTTCCAAGATTTCTGAATCGACTCATCATTACAGCGAAGATGTGCGCCTCACGTTGGAAGCAGTTGAAACTCACAAATCTATGGGAGTTTTTAGAGTATTGGTTGATAGCACTCATCAGCTTCATGTATGTGAAACTTAGAACTAAGACAGTCCAAAGCTTTTTTACTTGTTTTGTGATCAACATTATTTCTCAAGTTCTAAGCTAATGTATTCGATCAAAGCGGAATAAAAATTCAAAGACTCTCCTAGATATACAAGTTTCATTCAAACTCAAACTGACATGAACTTGAAGTCTTGACTACACTTGCCAACTCATCTAGCATCTCAAGTCTCTCTTCTGAACTACAATTTGTTTTAGAGAAAGTTACCTTTTTCAAACGACTAGCGTTCCTTAGTATATATTTTGCTACCTCTTTCTCTTCTTTTCGTTTCTCCTCGTAGCCTTCCCACACAAATGTCTCAAGATGGAGCAACAAACATTCAGGAACAGTCTTTGGTTGGTTCCATTTCTCACAGACCACATGATCTTCAATCTTATGCCATTGCTGAGGGGGAAACACAATGTAACATTACATATATAAGATCATCAAACACGAAAATGATCATGCTAATATGCTTACATCGATGAGGAGCTTGAGGACTTGTAAGTTAGGCGAAGTATCGAGCATGAACATAAGTAGATTCCACCACGCCGGTTTACCTGTATATACCTCCAAATATACCAACCGATAGAAGATACTACCAGTAGGATACTCAACCTTTTGCATTAATGATGCCATATTGTTAGTACGGAAACAATGTAATAACAACAAAACAAGTCAATTGCAAAAAGAGTTACCTCCAAGGGTGACCAAAAGAGCAAAGAAAGCATTTTGACTGAAGTTAGAGATCCCAAAAGCTTCTCATTGATTGTTACACATGAAACTTTTGCCTTTACCAACTCCAGAGAAGTCTCACTTAGACTGACTTCAGAACCCTTCTCGAGATCAATGTGCAAGTATTTCAAAGAAGGAGCATTTATCACATATTCCCAATGGTCGACTCCGTCATTTTCATCATGAATTGATAGACTCTGCAAAGACGGGACCTCAATAATGAAAGTTTTAACACCATCACCACAAGTAGCTCGACTCACGACCAAAGTTTCAAGAAAAGGGCAACCAGATAAAAGGTTACACACTGATTTATCGTCTTTGTAATACATATAATCAAGATGCAGAGTTTTTAGGGACTTGAGACAAATCTGAGAAGGGACATCGACAAGAGCATGAAACCTAAGTATCAAGGTCTCTAGTGTTTCACATGTATACAACAAGGTTGGAGGAAAATTGAATGGCCTATTACTCTTCTTATTCTCGGGGTACACGTCAAGTAACAGCTTACGCACATTTCGTCCAAATGCGATTCCAAGCAATATTCCAATATCCATAGCAGTACATGTGTCTAAATCAACTTCAAGATGTAAACTTTGTAGGATTGGAGCTTTATGTGAATGCAAAGTTTTGCAAACATCCTTTGAAAATGTCCCGAGTTTACGTTTGTGATCACAAGAATCAAACATGAGTATAGGTACCATCTTCCAAAGAGACTGCCATTGTTTAGACAGAACACTAGTGGCTATGACATCTTTTGTTGGAAGAAGAGACAATATTTGCAGAATCAATGCTTCAGGAGGTTGACTGAGTCTGTCTTCTTCGTTCACAAGAGCTAGATTTCTCTTACTTTTAACACAAGAAATTGATCACAAAAACAAAAGATGAGTTGGTTTTTGAGGTTTGGAGCTTATATAGTAACAGTTTAAGAAACCGTAGAACTACTGGAGATGAGTTTAAAAAGCATACCATCGTTTCATTGAAGAGAGATCAAAACGTTGCTTGTTAGATCCTAATGCTTATCGAATTTTGATGGCCAACGTTAGGGCTTCGGAGGTGGAAGCTGCGGAGGAAGTGATCCTCTGTAAATTTCCAAAATCCAGGTTTCCGTTCCAATTTTTATTGCAAAATTTCAGAATTAACCGGTCATAATAATTGGATTAAACAAAACCGGAGTAAATAATTGTATCGAATCGAACCGAACCGAACCTTCATTTTCCTCCAATCTGAATGTATCTGATTAAGTCTATCTGCAATTCTCTAAGTCAGCTCCTTCGAATTGAAAAGCTCTTGATCTATGTTTGATCAAGTTGTTGAAGTGTCTATGATATGATAATAATGGTGGAGATTAAATTAATGACGAGTTCAAAAAGTATTGTGTTAATAATGATTAATGAGATTAAGATAGTGAATACGTTCCTTAGAATGATCCAATAGAACGGATTAGCAAAAAGGATGATAACAAGTTTGCAAGGACTAAGAGCATGAGGATACTGCAACCTTCTTGGTCAAGAGAGGCATGTTCTTTTTAGCTTATAACGGATAGAAAACTGTGTTTGTAAGAATTGACATAATATTACAAGCATTTGAGTTCCTTATCGCTACATTTCAAAATATCTTTAACAATACAAAAGACAAGTAGTGGAAACAAACAAGAAATAAGAACGGGACAAAGTGACAGAGGAAAATATAGCTCTCGACATCGATTTTCTTACAATGGACGTTGATGAAGATTCGGGCAGTTTTCTATATCGACTTTGTTCAGCTTCAGTTTTGGAAAAGAGACTTGACTCCCATAGATACTTCCTAGTTCCTTCAAATAATGTAGACGAAGGACTTGTAGCTCTTGAAAAGGATCAACCCCAACACATGCAGCTTTCTCTTTGTTTATTAATTCTGTCATCTTAGGCGAGGATTCTACGCTTAGAGACTCAAGATTTGCAGCATAAATCAGCCATGTCAGATCCTTTAGATGTATACATGAGTTTATTACCACAGCTGAGAGATCCTTGAACCATGGATTGCTTGGAGTGATTTGACTGGATGATGTGGATGGAGCATACTGGTCTCTCCTTTTGCCTTCCCATTCTGTTCCTGACTCTGTGATATCGCAGTTTACTAGTTCAAGTTTGTGAAGACTACTCAACTCACCAATGGCTGCAAATGGTACTTTAAGTCCTTCGAGATATAGACCCTGAGTCATCCCTGCCAATCTTGTGCTTCCTAAAAACTCTTCCAAAACAGAATCGTTGTTCACAGTAACGGTCAAAAGTTGTAAACCCTTCAACTGCTCCAAGATCTTCAGCAAGCAGGAATCTAATGCAGCAGCAGAACCATAAAATCTTAGAACCTGCAACTTTTGTAATTCTGAAATCAGACCGACGTTTCGAAGATTGGAAGTGGACTCCAAATTCAAGTGAATCAATTTACTCAAGACTCTTAAACCTTCCGGCAGATTCTTTATACTCGTCCCTGATAAGTTGAGAAGCCGCAAAGAAACCAACTCCGAAATTCCTTTTGGCAACTCGGTGATTTGGAGGTTCCAAGATAGATCCAAAACCACCAGAGTCGACAGGACCTGAAAGAATCTACCAACAATATCTACCAGCTTGTTATTTTGAAGGAACAAGGTTACAAGATTTGTCTGGTCAGGAAATTCAGGATCGTCTGGTATGTTCTTGATCTCATTGTTGATGAGAGACATCTTTGTGACGTTTGTCCAATCCGTGACATCAGGCAGTTGGCTTAAACCAGCATCTGTTTTCACAACAAATCTTTCTCCATCCCTAAATTCAGATACTATCCACAATGCCATCTCACGGATCATATCATGCATATACACTTTCTTATTAGACTCCAATAACAAACCTGCCCCAACAAGATTATCGATGATCTCATAGCATCGATCCTTTGCTCTCCCTCTTCCGTCTTTTTCATCGATGAAACCCTCACCTATCCAATACTCTACCAGCTCATCTTGTTTGATATAATATGCCTTGGGAAATAAAGCACAATACAGAAAACACTTGGCATTTTTTGTTTCTAAATAATCGTAGCTCAACTTCAAAACTTGAAAGATGCCCTTCTCTGTACCTTTCATCTCACTCGGATAAGACTCCAAAGTATCGAGTGCACGACGCCATTGATACACAGTAGATTTAGATGCCATAGTCTTTCTAATTACTTCAAGTGCAAGGGGTAAGCCACAACACTTAGCCACAATCTTTTTTGCGATATCAGAAATTTCGTTATTTAACCCGTCGCATTTGACCTTCCTAATAAGAATCTTTGGGATTTATATAGCCTTGATAAAATAATAGCAAAATTACAGATTAGCCCTTTAATTTTTGACGTCATGCATTTGTGCGTCTGTAAAATATAAAATTACAAATACAAATATCAAAGTAGCCAAATGTTATATTTCAAACATCATTATTCATTGACTTTTTTACTTGATTTTAAATATTTACTTTAAAAACAAAATAAATAAAATACTAGTGACTGAAATCAGTGGCCACAAGATAATCCAAAGGCGCAAGTAGAAAAAAAAACAAAAAAAAAAAAAAGAGAGAAAAAAAAAGCGACAGAGCTTCGAAGGCGCCGTTTATGCTTTCCTCTCCGGTGGCTACCACGGCGCCGTGAGAGGGAATCTGTAGTGTTTCCTTTAGTTTGTAAAGTTGTATAGTAGCTGATGAGATTTTGGGGGCGAGTTAAAGGGTTCGGTGGTGTTAGGGTTTCGTGGCCGAGGAGTGGCTCAGATCTGGCTCCGGCGAGTCTCTTTGTCGGCTGTTCTGGTCTTTGCCAAGCTTTGTTGGTCGTTTTTCCAGTCACACCAATCTGGATTCGAGGTTGTAGCTTTTTGTTGGTGTGATCCTTGGTAATCGATGGAGGTTTTGGCTTTGTCGCTTCCTCGTGCGGTACTCTCGTCCACTCTCCTTTTTGCCTCTGGGTCTTGTCTGGCTTAGTTTATCGGTTGTTTGTTGTAGTTGTTGTTGTTTGGTTTCGTTGGCCACAAAGATTGATCTCGATTTCAGATCTAGATATGGACCTGTCTTTGATTTCAACTCTTTGCTTCAGATTGAGTTGATTCGATTGGTCTCCTTTGTCAACCGTTTCGATTCTCTGTGAATCCAAGTTATTTCTGCTTAGCTGCGTTTGAATTTTTTCTAGCCTTTTGGTCAGCCCTGATGACTTCTTGTGGGAGAACAGGTAAGGTTATCACCTTTTAGTTGAAGAAGTCATTAACCTCGGCCAGCAGATGAAGCTTCCTTCCTCATCGTTTATTTAAATAAGTTCTATTGGAGCATTTCAGCAGCTGTTTCCTCTTCTCTTCCTGTGGTGAAGCGTTTCTAGAGGTACTGGGTTGAGTTTCATTTGGACATGTAGCAGTTGAGAAAGGGGTGTCTTTTCATTCTTTTGCTGGTGCTCTTCTTCATCTCGGTTCTACATATCCCTTGCTAATCTGTTTGGCTGCAGCACTATCCTTTCGCTTCCGCGAGAGTTTGTTTCATGCCTTTTCTCTGAGTCTTCTTCATCTTCGGACGAAGATCTCCTGCATCGTCGTCTTCCTGGTCTTGGAGACCTTTTCAAGCTTCTCATCCGGCTACATTTGGTTTTAGAGATTTATCTTTGTTAGCTTTGCATTGTTGGTTTTGGTCTTTGTGTAAAATTTGTATTGAGTTTGTAAGCTTCCCTCGTTTGGGCTTTTGGCTCTGGGAGTCTTCAGGGGGTGTATTGGAATTAGGATTTTAGAAAATTTTGGGTTTTTACTAAAATCATCTGTTATTGAATTTGTGATTTTCAAATCTCTTCTCAAATCCAATGTTATTGAAATTGAGATTTCAATAAAATTACTCACAATCTCTTGTTATTCAAACTATAATTTCTAAACTTGATATCAAATCAACTGTTATTGAAAACACAACTTTGTTTTTTTAAAAAAGCCATAACATTGATTTTGGGAGACTTTGGATACAATTTTACATGAGAAATTCAATTAAAGAAATCACACCTTGAGAGGTGTTATTTGAAAAAAACTTCTTTTAACAAAATAAACATAAGAGAAGTTGTCCTTTCACTTTCTCATTCTCATCGTCAAAAGTCAAAACAAATCTGTCACCTTTTTTTTGTTCTTCACTTGCAGAAAAAAACAAAAGATTTCAATGGCAAATCAAATTCATTACCAACAAAATCTCTCTCAGTTTCAAGTTTTTAATTTGAAATCCTAATACAAAAACATAAACTTTTTTATAACCACAACACACCATGATTTCTTTATTTTTTACCACAAACAACGTTGAACGTGTTTTGGAACGTGTTGCAGAGAGAATCCAATTTTTCTATTTTTTTGTAAAGCAACGTTGCAAAGAGATCCCAAATTTTCTAGACAATGTTGGAGATAAGTTTTTTTTGTAAATCCAGTTTTCCTATTTTTGTTTTAAAAATCTCACCAAATCATCCAATATTATCTCTTAAATCTCACCAAATAACAAACTAGTATTTCCTTTTCTAAAATGAAAATTCTAACAATTCCACCAAAAGTATCCTAAAAAATCACATAACTTTCTCAAAATCCAAAATTTCCTAAATTCCACCAAATCCACCCAAATCTTTAATTCAATACACCCCCCTTCATGTACTCGCCAGCTTTGTTTCTGGAGGGATTGAGATCCTTGCCAGCTCTTTGTATTTCGGTTTAAAGTTTATCAATGAAATCAAATCTTTTAGTGAAAAAAAAAAAAAAAAAAAATACTAGTGACTTGTAAAATCATAAAACACGAACCATATTGGAGGAATATTAGAAAACATATAAACTATGTACGAAGAGAAGAAGTTATCTTATGAATAAAGAAATAATATATATATATATATATATATATATATATATATTAAAAGCGAGGAGCACAGAGCAAACGAAAAAAAAAACCTAAACCCTAAAGATGAGAAACACATTGGTGATGTCGGACCTTCCAGGAGATTTGTTAGAGGAGATACTTTGTCGCGTTCCGGCCACATCTCTGAAGCAGTTACGATCTACTTGCAAACAATGGAACAATTTATTCAAAAATGGGAGATTCATAAGAAAACACTTGGATAAAGCCCCAAAGCAGTTTCTGAATCTCATGTTGAACGAGTCTAGGGTTTGTTCCATGAGTGTCAGTTTCCATGGAATTCCATCTGTAGAGGCCACAGGTGAACTTAAGCTAATCGACTCCGTTTCTAGTTTAGAAGATCAATTCGAGATTTCTCAAGTCTCTCATTGTGACGGCTTATTGTTATGCACCGACGACACTAGAATCGTGGTTTGGAACCCGTGTACTGGTCAAACTAGGTGGATCGAACCCAATAATCGTTGCTACTACTATGCTTTGGGATCCTACCAAGACAAATCCTACAGTAATAGCTACAAAATATTGGGCTATAGTGGTTATGGCTTCAAGAACCAAGAACTCGCAATCTATGAAATTAACTCTCATTCATGGAGGTTTCTTGATGTCACTTGTGACTGCATCCTCCAAAGATATACTGATTACGGCGTGTCTTTAAAGGGAAATACTTACTGGTTTGCGTCAGATGAGAAAGAGAAAAATCACAACGTATTTCTGGTCAGTTTTGATTATACAACTGAAAGATTTAGACGTCTACGTCTTCCGTATCAGTGCCCTGATTATAAAACTGCGTCTCTATCCGTTGTTAGAGAAGATAAGCTTTCGGTCTTGTTACAGCGCGATAATACATCAAGGACAGAGATATGGGTAACAAGTAAGATTGGTGAGACCAAAGTGGTGTCTTGGAGCATGGTCTTAGCAGTGGATTTCCCGTCCGAACTATTTATTTGTTCTGGCATAAGTTTCTTGGTCGATGCCGAGAAAAAAGTCGTCGTATATGTTGTGATAATTACTTCGGAAAGGATGAATACGACCGCAAAAATTTGGTCCACATTGTTGGAGAGGACAACAAAGTGAGAGAAGTTAATTTCGGAGTAGCCGAATCATCTTGGCCGTTTTTGTTTAATTATGTTCCAAGTTTGATTCAAATCCGAGAAGGTGTAGGAGGCAAAAGAAAAAGAGACGAAGATTTTTCTTTGAGATGGATTTTTAACTAGATATCCACCTATATTTATTGTTATTTTTAGCTTTTCACTATTATATAAACTCTTGATGGAAGTGGTCTAAGTAAGCTTCACGCAAACCTTCTGTTTTTTTTGTTTTTTTCTTTCTCACCGTTATCTTTGATCATATTCATGTTTTGGCAAACAAATGTTTCATACATACTTGTTGCATTTACTTTAACACAGTTTTTTTTTTTTTTTTTAAGTTTCGTGATCAACAAAGATCTGCATTGCCGCCTCTAGCTCGTTCTTTGACATGTAACATGGGGTTTTCATGCTTCTTTTCTTAACAAATACAAAGACAGAAAAAGCAATTAACCTAAATGAAATATAAACATGAGTGAGACCAAAACAGACATAATGAAGAGCTACGTGTACGTTCCAAGTCTAGTGAGGGTTGTTTCGTGTTTCTAAGCTTTGTTTAATTGGTATGTGATTGTTCATCTTCTGTCATCATATATGAAATTGACTTTGGTTTTTGTGATACAACCTGGACATACGTTTTAGGTTTCCGTCCACAGTCTTATGTGTATCAGTTTGATCAGTCATGTTTGTGGTATCCATAAAACTAAGATACACACACCCACATGTATTCATGACAAATTTCACTATATGCTACAAATAAACAAGGGTTGTGCTAAAAAATCCAAATACAAAGAATTTGGATAAACCTTATAACAGAAGCTATATCGAACATTCTAACTTGATCTACTTAATTTGAATAAACAAAACAAAAAAAAAAACAATCATTATTTAGTTATTGAATACATTCTATCTATAACCAAGGATGTAAAGAAATATCTACAGCTTCCACTCTTTTTTTTCCCCTCAATGTTACAGATTACTGATTATCCATGGAAATTTTTAAAGAAGACAACATTGCATTTGTAACATACATTGCAAACGAGTAACAATGACCAACAACGTCAGTTTGTCAGATGTTTTATATCATTTCTTGATTAGGAAGGACTACGGAGTTATAAGAAGTAATTAAGAAAGGAAATTTAATTTCACTTAGACTTAGAGTGAGTAGGTTTTTTAATTAAAGACATTTCGGTTATTCTCTCTTATTACAAAACTTTGCAATGTCGATCATAACGCAATTTCCCTTTGCAATCTCTCTTTCCCCTTTTCGTATATCAGCCGGAAAAAAAAAAAAAAAAAAAAAAAAAAACAGTTTTTTTCCAATCTCTCTCTCTCTCTCTCTCTCTCTCTCTCTCTCTCTCTCCCCAATTTGAGATTCTCATGTAAGCTCTCTCTTCATCTTCTCTCCAAGGATTTGTTTTCCGTGTAATGTTTGAGACTAAGAGCTCTCTCGATTTCGATTTTTGTTCGTCTGGATCCGTTTCTTTTTTTTGGGGACAATCCTCGTATAATTAGGGCTCCAGATTCGTTTATCCTTTAGTTCCTTTTTCTCTAAAGTTTGGTTTTTGATTGATGGGTTTTCTTGATTTAGCAATCTTTAAGATTTACTTGAAAGATTCCGTAATTTTGCTCTGAATCGGGTTCTTTGTTCTGTTCTCACTAGCTCTACCAAAGCAGTTTCTCTTTTGGATCCCTAAATGTTCAATTATGTGAACAGATTGTTTACTTTTTAGCTTCTCTTCCTTTTCATTTTAGTTTTTTTGCAGAGATTTTAGGAGGAGGAACATGATGATTGTTTGAATTGGGAGAGACAGTTCTTCGTTTGTGTAAAATGCGGGTGCTTGGTTTGAGCTCAAGCTTATGTTCAGGTGAGGACAAGGAAGAAGCAGAGACAACTGGAGAAGGCTGTCTCACGCCTGTTTATCTCAACGTCTATGATCTGACTCCTGTCAACAATTATCTCTATTGGTTCGGTCTTGGCATATTTCACTCTGGCATTGAGGGTAATTGCAGCTTCTTCTCTATAACTTACTTGACCTATCCAAAACTTTTCTCTGCCATGTTCATTACTATTTACTATTAGTCTATGTATCCTGCCTAGTTCATTGCTTTCTATTTGCTTTCATCCATAGCTGGTTTATCATGTTATCAATGTACTCTAGTCTTGAATAGGAACAATGATACTTTGTTCTGACAAGTTGTGGTTTATTGATTAGGTGACAATGCTTGGTTCTTTAGACAATGGTTTTTATTATATTAGCTATGGAATACATAATTACAAGGAAAAAGTGGAACAAGTTTTGAGGAATCCCTCTAGAATGGAATGCTTTTTCAAATCCTGCCTTATCGTCTGAAACTATCTCTTTCAATAATTAGAACTTGCCTAATGATGAGTTATAACGCTACTTCTACTGAAGCTGTTATTGTTGCTAAATGTTTATCTAATGTGAAGTTTTTTTCACTTTGCTATGTCTACTACTAGCTCATGGTTTCGAATATGGATATGGGGCTCACGAGTATTCGAGCAGTGGGGTATTTGAGGTTGAACCTAGGAGCTGTCCAGGTTTCATCTTTAGGCGGTCAGTTTTGCTGGGAACCACCAGCATGTCTCGCACAGATTTCCGCTCATTCATGGAGAAGCTTTCGAGAAAGTATCATGGGGACACATACCATTTAATCGCCAAGAACTGCAACCATTTCACTGAAGAAGTATGCTTGCAGGTAACAGGAAAGCCTATTCCTGGATGGATTAATCGGATGGCTCGAGTAGGTAAGATAACTTTCTTATTCCAGCTTATTATTTCTTAATTGGTTGTTGTTGTTTGACATTTATATTTTCATGGTTGCTTGTTCTTGAATACCTCCAGGTTCTTTCTGTAACTGTATCCTTCCAGAAAGCATACAGCTCTCATCGGTTAATCATCCCGAAGCCCTCGAGTTCTCTGGTAAGTTTATCATGTTTTCTCTACTTAACTCCAAAAAAACTGCAATACGCTTTTGGATTTCTGATGACACCAGTTGTGTTTTATTTACCTCCATTGTAGATGATAACGATGGATCAGAAGAATCAGTTGCATCTTCTGTGTCATACGAAACAGATGGAGAAGGATCGGACCATCATCTCATAACAGCACCAAACAGCGACATTGCGTATCTACAAGACAGACCAGTAAGACTTGCCCGTGAACTCCTCCAAGAACCAACCGATGATGCATCTCCGCAGTACTTGATGAAGCGTTCCTGATCATCACAATCATCAAGAACTTGTGTTGTCTGTAAACAGAAGTGATGCAATGGGTCCATTTTGAATATTCTTTGGATCTATAAATGTAAAAAAAGATTAATTTAAATGAGAACCCATCTAAGATGTTGGATTGTGTAGTGTAAGATTAGAGACAAATGGTGTGAATTTGTTGACAAAATTGTGCCTTCTTCTTCTCTCTCTGTGAGTTCATAAGTCATAAGATTTGTTAGACTAATAATTACTATTGATCCTATTTATAATCAAATTTTGAGACAGTTAATGGTTATGGTGATTTGATATGTCAGAAGCTGTCTTCTACACGAAGGTGTTTCTTTGTTCTTTACTTGAGACATTTTGCAGCTGTGTTAGTTCAATGAAGCCATCACAAGACTAGTAATTTAACTTATTGGGCTTACCCCGGGGTAAATTGGGCCCATTAGTTTTAGTACTAACGGCCCAGTTTGGGTAAAAACAAGTTATGATCAGATCCAGACCGCCCAAAAATTGGTAAGGCGGAAACATTTTCACCAGATTCGTCTAGGGTTCTTGGTCGTTCTTAACTGGTACGTTTCAATGGTTTCCTTTCTCTGTACTTCATCATTTCTGCGAAATTCACGAACTGGGTCGTTCTAATCTAAGTGAGAGGTGTAATGTTACGTGTTTAATTAGGTCTGATCTGCTTCATTTTGTAATCAATTGAGGAATATAGATCATCAGCGATACAAGAACTTAGTTTAGGGTTCTAAGCTCTCTGTTTCTTTGATTTACTCATTAATGTGATTAAATGTCTCTAATTTGGATTTTCAACTGTAAAATTCAATGATGTTGTTCCATAATTTAGGTTTTGAAGATCAGGAAACTGAGTATTTCTGCTTCCAACAAAGCTTTCAATTTTTTTTTGCTTTGCCATTGGGTATTGGACTTATCAGTATTTTTGTACATTTGAGACAATGTTGTTTGACCTAATTGCCATGGTCTGTGGTTTACTTACACTTGAAATACTAATCCTAGTTGAACTTTTCATGGCTTTGTTGATATAGTTTCATCGTTTACAGGCATCTAGTATGGCTTTCTGCACCAAACTCGGTGGTCACTTGAAACATGGGGTTATCCAAAACAGAAATGTTCCAGTGACATCAATGCTCGGTTCTCTCCGCTACATGTCCACTAAACTTTATATTGGTGGTAATTATAACTTCCTATCTGATTGATTCTTTTTGCACTTGTGAATGTATTGTTACTCTGCTTTCTCGTGTATTGCAGTTTAAATGTTTTGGTCACTCTTAATCTTGTCCCAGGTCTATCACCCGGAACTGATGAGCAGTCCTTGAAGGACGCTTTCTCTAACTTCAATGGAGTGACAGAGGGTATGCCCTGGATCTTACCAACGTGTTTTTGTTTGCGCTAGTTAATGTATAAACCATTCAAGGATATGTGGCTTGGATTAAGCTGTTATAGTCTATCGTTATACCATAAATAATTGGTGTTGATGAGCTTTTGCAATATGGTATTTTTGTTTTCGCTTAGGTGTGCTTCGGGACTTAAGTATCTTGCTGATTGCTGACTACGGTCAATATATTTAATCATTTCAGTCTTGTGTATTGAACTAGTAGTATCTTGTTGTATCTTTGGTTGTGCAGCAAGAGTCATGACAAACAAAGTGACTGGGAAGTCTAGAGGTTATGGATTTGTTAACTTCATAAGTGAGGATTCTGCCAACTCTGCTATTTCAGCAATGAATGGACAGGTTAGAAATCTAAAGAATCTTTTACCTATCATGTCAATTGTTGTGTTGTATGGTTAACTTTCCCCTTCTGTTGGTTTTGGGATGGTTAAATAGGAGCTGAATGGGTTTAACATCCGTGTAAACGTTGCGAAAGATTGGCCAAGTTTACCATTGTCTGTAGATGAGAGTATAGAAGAAGCTGAGAAGAAAGACAATAAAATGGTGAGCCGATCTGTATGGAAAGATCCATTCGTTGACGCATTCCTGATGAAGAAGAAAAATGCAGCACTGAACAGGAAAATATGGTCAAGAAGATCAACGATTCTGCCAGAGTATGTTGATTCGGCGGTGAGAATCTACAACGGCAAAACTCATGTGCGTTGTAAGATCACAGAGGGGAAAGTTGGGCATAAATTCGGAGAGTTTGCGTTTACAAGAAAAGTGAAGAAGCATGCTAAAGCAAAGTAGTTTCTTCTTAAAATGAATTGGTCAGCTGCTTGAAAGGATTGTGTTGAAAAGCCAGAAACGAATCGAATCAATAAAAATTCTTAACAGGTAAAACTCATTAGCTCACATGATCATGTAGACGAATATTAAGGTTTAGTTTTGTTGTCTTCTCTGTATTTGTGGACCACAAAGTGCCTAAGTTATTTTGGAATCAATTATGGTTCTTAAATGCATCTCCTTAGTGCTTGTTGAAGCGGTCTTGATCAAGAACTTGTATTGTCTCCATACAGAAGTGAGCTAATGGGTCCATTTTGAGTATTATTTCGATCTAAAAATGTGAAAAAAAAAGGATTGAAATTGAAATGAGAATCCAATCTAAGGTGTTGTTGGATGGTAGTGATATTAGAGACAAATGGTGTGAACTTGTTGACAAAATTGTGTCTTCTTCTCTCTTTGCGTTCACATTTCAGAGTCATAATTCGTAAGATTTGCGAGACTACTAATGAGTACAAGAATGTATAATCAATATTCACAGTTACTGGTTATGGATTTGATATGTTTGCTCAGAAACTGTCGTCTAGACTTGAACGTATTTATTATTCAGTTCACATTTTCATGCAATGGAGCCCTCACAAGACCTGTAATAAGACGAGTTATATTTGTAGGTTTTTATGATTTATAAGCTAAGAAATTCATTTAGTTTAATTATGAATTGTATTCACAGATTATGCAGATTCATGAGCTGAAAAACTTTTGTTTGTAGATATTATAACTTACATTATCTATAAATTCTATTTATATAATTTTTGTATTTTGGAGCTAAAAAGGTTATAATTTTATTCGTAGATTTCATACTACTTACGAAAGGAACAAATACATTTACATATTTTGTAGATTTTAGTTGCTTACCAAAAATGTTCAACCATGTATTTTGAATGTTTTTGAGTGTTAAGGTGGTGTAATAGCATTTGGAATTATTTTGTGTTAAAATGACAAATCCTATGTTATTCAATCATCAATTTTAAAAAGTTCTATAAAATCCAGTGTTATTGAAATAAATAATGATTCCAAAAATGTACCATCAAACCCACTATTATGGAAATATTTTAACCACTAGAGTTTGATGACTTTAAGGTGGTTTAGAAGATTTTGTAAGTTAAAACTGCAAAAATTTAAATCACATGGTTTTAAATGAAATTTGGAAGAACTTTACAATAAGTCATAACAATTAATCTAAAATCACCCAAAATCATTTAAAAACTCATTAAAATTCGAATCATTCAAAATATATGGTTGGATAACATAGAATTTGTCATTTCAACACCAATCATTCCAAGTGTTTGATTTATTGATTTTTTTTTTTTTTTTTATCATAGAGAAAGCAAAAATCTCTGTCAATGGCAAGTAGGTACCAAGTAGTGGCACTGGCATGAGAGAGTGATGTCTGGATTTATTGATTTCTTTGGTAGCCTATACTTCTATGTTTCCTTGATTTTTCATTCCAAATATGGGAGAAAGTTATAACAAATAGTATTCGATATCAAACGTCAAAACATGTACTCTCAAATATATTTTATTGGAATATAGTTATGGAGATATTTTTACCTGGGGGAGATGGAACCAAACTAAGATCTAGAAATGTGATTGGCTAACGAAAGAAGCACAATAAGTAAACAAGTGACAGTGACAATTTATCCCTCAACAACAACACACATTCACATATATCTTTACTTTTATTTTCCTATTCTCAATTTTCAATAGATAAATGGCAATTACAAATATTTAAATAGACAAATAAATTATCAAATATTTATCCCTAAAAAAGTTAATTCACAAAAATTTTGTAATAAAACAAATTCTTATACAATAGTAAATATGATTGGATTTATAAGTTATTGTAAAGATCAAAATATGAAATCCCCTTTAGTATATGCTATGTTATAAATACATAGACACATATATACGTGCCCTATTAAAAGAGGCAGCGAGAAGATAACATAGGAGGAAGAAGAAGAAAGATGATGAAGAAGAGAGTTAATGCAAATGCAAGAAGATATTAACTAATCAGCACCGTCCATTTTTTTCATCTAATTCTTTCTTACTTGGCCGCAACTTCCAACCACATCACACACTCTTTCTGTTCCCTTTATATATTCCCATCTCAAAAGTTCTTGGAGACACATAAACATTAAAAAAGAAAAAGAAAAAACACATAACCATAATCGCTAATCGCAACTTTTGCGTTTGTCAATGGGAAATAAAGGTTTGAAGCGGTCTTGTGTTGTGGTGGCGGTTGCATTATTAGCCATGGTTCATGTTTCTGTTTCAGTTCCGTTCATAATGCTTCATGGAATCTCAGCTCAATGTTCTAATGCTAGAGATGCTAACTTCACACAGCTTCTCACTAACCTCTCTGGCTCTCCTGGCTTTTGCTTGTAAGTCAATCCACAAAATAGTTTATCCGTTTTGATAACCGAAAGATGGGGACATGTAGAAAGAGTTGTGTATTATTGGTATCTAAAACGTCCAAAGTCGTTAACTATGATGATGTATTTGGTTTGATCCAACTCTTCTTTTTGGTATGGTATCCAGAGAAATTGGAAATGGAGTAGGCGATTCATGGTTAATGCCACTTGCACGGCAAGCGGAAATAGCTTGTGAGAAGGTGAAGCAAATGAAAGAGTTGAGTCAAGGATACAACATTGTTGGAAGATCTCAGGTTCTTGATACTTTCTTAAAAAAATCTAAAATCGGTTTTTAATCATTATTACATGTTTCAGTTTCAGTAATGTTGATGAATGATGGAACAGGGGAACCTAGTGGCTCGAGGCTTAATTGAGTTCTGCGACGGTGGCCCTCCGGTTTACAACTATATATCCTTGGCTGGTCCTCATGCTGGGATATCCTCTGTTCCTATGTGTGGTGTAAGCTTTTTTTTTATTATTTCCTCTAATTATTTTTTCTATGATTTAATTTTAATCAATCAATCACAGTAACAACATTGTATTTTTCTTGTTAAAGTCTGGTTTATTCTGTAAGTTAGCAGATGAGCTAATCAAGGGAGATATCTATAGCGACTTCATTCAAGTAAAACATCTCTTTCTCTCTTTATTAGGATTAAATCCTTAGTTACAAATTAATTAAAATTCTTTAATAACTCTGCAGGATCATCTTGCTCCTAGTGGTTATCTCAAAATTCCTACTGTATGTCTACTCACCAATTATATCTTGATGACCAAAACAACTATTTTAAATTTTGAGATATCACAAAATCTTTGTTTTTGATTTATCAGGATATGACAAAGTACTTGGAAAACTCTAAGTATCTACCTAAGCTTAACAATGAGATACCAAATCAAAGAAACTCAACTTACAAAGACCGTTTCACCAGTTTACAAAACCTGGTTCTTATCAAGGTTTGGTCTCTTCAAAACCATTCTACTTTTCAACTATCTTTTAATTCCTCTCTTGATGATTCTGCTTTTGTTTTACAGTTTCAGGACGATAAGGTTATTGTTCCAAAAGATTCATCGTGGTTCGGGTTTTATCCGGATGGTGAATTTGAACCTCTTCTCTCTGCTCAACAGACAAAGCTCTATACAGAGGATTGGATAGGTCTGAAAACATTGGATGATGCTGGAAAAGTGAAGTTTGTGAGTGTAGCCGGTGAACATATCAGAATGGCAGATGAAGATGTCGTCAAACATGTTGTACCTTATCTCCAGGACCAACCGTCTTCGGTGCAAAGAGTCAACCGCAAGACGAAGCAGCCCTTGCATCCTTAGAAAGAGCAAATACCTCAATAGTTATTATACTTATTCATGCAATTTATCGAAAAAAGCTTAGTAATGATTTTGTAGAACTAGAATCATTATTCTTATATAAATATAGATACATTATACATATATACCTATTTGAATTATCGAATTAATCCGTAGAGAAACGACGAATGAGATCTTTATCACCAATTTTCTTCAAGACTTCAATGGGTTTCTCAACATGAGAAACTTTCAATTAATCTCATTTTCTTATCGAGCATCGATTCGCTTAGCAGCTTCCCAAGAAAGCCCATGTATACATGAACGTTGGTGCAACCTCTTCAATATACACATAAACCAACCAATGCATAAATAACTTTTAGAGTTATAGTGTCTGCCTACAGAAGTGAGTCAATGGGTCCATTTTAAGTATTTTTTCGATCTAGACATGTAAAAAAGATTATAATCTAAGATGTTGCATGGTAGTGTAAGATAAGAGACAAATGATGTGAACTTGTTGACAAAATTGTGTCTTATTTTCTCTTTTAGTTCACATTTCAGTGTCATAATTCGTAAGGCTTAATTACGTGACTAGGTAACTAATTAGCATTGTAGTTTTAATCAAATTTTTACAGTTATGGACTTGATATGTTCACTCAGAAGCTGTCGTCTAGATTTGAAAATATTTGTTATTCAGTTCACATTTTGAACCTATTACTTTCAAGGAGCTAGAAAATTATAACTTTGGTTCAAAGATTTTTAATTTATAAGGTTCATAAATTTTGCAGACTAAATTTTCTGCTTGTAGATCTTATAATCTACATAAGCTATGAATTCTATCTAAATAATCTGTAGAATTAGGAGCTAAAAAGTTAAAATTTAATTTCGAGATTTTATTCTTTACAGAAGGAGCAAATTTATTTGTATATTTTGTAGATTTAGTTGTCAAAATAAAATTTAGTCTATACATTATACAAGGTGCAAGTTAAATTTATAAAATTTGTGGATTTGGGAACTAAATTTAAAAACTTGAAATATATAATTTATGCATTCTCTCTTGTTTTTTTTAGTTATACATAAACCAAATATATTAGGTTATTCTGTATTTCAGATAATATTTAATTCCCAACAATTTATTTACTTTTTATAAGAAGACAATTAATTACTCTCTGATAGTTGGCAAGTGGTACCAAGTGATTAATGCAATGGGAGAGTAATGTTGGATATATTAATTTCTTTAATAGCTTATACTTCTATGTTTCCTTTTTTGATTTTTCATTCCAAATATGGGACAAACTTATAACGTCAAAACATTTTTTTTTTCTTTAACGTCAAAACATTTACCTCCAAATAGTATACTTTTATATTGGAAAATAGTTTTGAGATATTTTACGAGAGATGGAAACAAATTAAGATCAAGAAATGTGATTGGCTAACAAAAGAAGCACACTAAGCAATACAGTGACATTTTATCCCTCAAACACACGTTCACATATCTTTACTTTATTTCAGTAGTTTTCCATTTTAAATTATTTATATGTATTTAAAAAAAAAAATCACAGCACAAATAGTTTTCAAATATTATAGATTCTGAAACTCAAGTAAGTGCAACTCCATTAAAAATGATAAATTACATTTATTTATATTTACAAAAAAATTCTTTGTAACACCTGATATTTATTAATATAAACGTGAATTACAATAGTCACAACTCACAATGAAGGACTTGATTTATTAATTATCACAGAATGTACCAAAGTATGATAATAAGTTATTGTAAATATGTAATATGAAATTTTCTTGGTAATATGTTAAAAATACATACACAGACACGTACTAAAGGAGGCAACGCGGAGATGTCATTAGAGGAAGAACTAGGAAACAGAGCGTTATTGCAACTGCAACCAAAAACGTTAATGCAAGATCTCAGCTAATCAGCACCGTTAATTCTTACTTGGCCGCAACTTCCAACCACATGACGCTCTTTCTATTCCCTTTATATATTCCGGCCATCTCAAAAGTTCTTGGAGACACAAAATATCATAAACATAAACATAAACGCCAATCGCAGCTTTTGTACTCTAGGCGTTCTACAATGGAGAAAGGTTTGAAGCGGTCTGGTGTTATGGTGGTGGTTGCATTCTTAGCCATGGTTCATGTCTCTCTTTCAGTTCCGTTCATAATGCTTCATGGAATCGCATCTCATTGTTCTGATGCTACAAATGCTAACTTCACACAGCTTCTCACTAACCTCTCTGGCTCTCCTGGCTTTTGCGTGTAAGTCAATCCACAAAATAGTTTATTCGTTTTGATAACCGAAAGATCGGGCCATGTAGAAGAGTTGTGTATTCTTGCTATATTCTTGTTTTATATAGCATGAACAAGATGATGTATTTGGTTTGATCTGATTCTTGTTTTTTTTTTTTTTTTTTTTTTTTTTGGTATGGAATCCAGAGAAATTGGAAATGGAGTAGTAACTTCATTGTTCTTGCCACTTACACAACAAGCAGAAATAGCATGTGAGAATGTGAAGCAAATGAAAGAGTTGAGTCAAGGATACAACATTGTTGGAAGATCTCAGGTTCTTGAAAACCCTAAAATAGATTTTGATCATTATAACACGTTTCAGTTTCATGGATGTTTGATGAATGACGGAACAGGGGAACCTAGTGGCTAGAGGCTTGATCGAGTTCTGCGACGATGGACCTCCGGTTTACAACTATATATCCTTAGCTGGTCCTCATGCTGGCATTTCTTCTATTCCTCCGGCTATTTGTGGTGTAAGCTTTTTTCTTTAATCCTCAAATTATCTAAACTTTTATCTCTAATTTAATTTTCATCAATTAAAGTAACAAACAACGATTGTTTTGTTTGTTTTCTTTGTTTTGTTTTGTTTTTTGTAAGTTGAAGTCCGATCCAGCATGTAAGAAATTTGATGAGTTGATCAAGGGAGCTCTCTATAGCGAGTTCATTCAAGTATATATACCTCTTTCTCTATACAAATATCATGATTAAAGAGTCAATTAGAAATTTAAAAAAAAATCTGTAATGACTCTGCAGGATCATCTTGCTCCTAGTGGTTATTACAAAATCCCTAATGTATGTCCATTCACCATCGTTTATAGGAAAACTTGCAAAATCAACAAATAAGTAATTGATGATCAAAACAACAACATAAAGTTTTAACATAGATTCCACAAAATCTTTTATTTATTCTCAGGATATAAATGAGTACTTGGAAAGCTCTAAGTATCTACCTAAGCTTAACAATGAGATACCAGACCAAAGAAACCAAACTTACAAAGACCGTTTCACCATTTTACAGAACCTAGTTCTTGTCAAGGTTTAATAACTTCAAAACCATCTAGACTTTTCAACTATCTTCTCATTCCTCTCTCTTGATGATTCTGTTTTTTTCTTACAGTTTCAGGACGATGAGATTATTACTCCAAATGATTCAACTTGGTTTGGGTTTTATCCGGAGGGTGAATTCGAACCTCTTCTCTCTCCTAACCAGACAAAGCTCTATACAGAGGATTGGATCGGTCTGAAAACATTGGATGATGCTGGAAAAGTGAAGTTTGTGAGTGTAGCCGGTGGACACCTCAACATGGCGGATCAAGATGTCGTCAAACATGTTGTACCTTATCTCCAGAACCAACCGTCTTCCGTACAAAGCTTCAACCGCAAGACCAAGGAGCCCTTGCATCCCTAAAAAGGAGCAAATACCTCAATCGCTATACTAATTTATGCAATATCGAATAAGCTTAGTGATGATTTTGTATAAAAACTTGAAATATATAATTTATGCATTCTCTCTTGTTTTTTTAGTTATACATAAACCATATATATTAGGTTATTTTGTATTTCAGATAATATTTAATTCCCAACAATTTATTAACTTTTTTATAAGAAGACAATTATTAACTCTCTGTTAATTGGCAAGTGGTACCAAGTGATTAATGCAATGGGAGAGTAATGTTGGATATATTAATTTCTTTAATACTCCCTCCGTTTCGTTTTAGTTGTCGTTTAAGGTTTTCTCACACAAATTAAGAAAAACATTAAATTTTCTGTTTTACCCTTTATTAATATATTTTATAAAAAAATTCATTGGCCGAATATTAAAATAGTAGAGATAAAACTGGAATTTTCACCAAACATTTGCATCGAAAACCTAAAACGACAATTATTATGAAACAAAATTTTAACTCTAAAACGACAAGTAAAACGAAACGGAGGGAGTAGCTTATACTTCTATGTTTCCTTTTTTGATTTTTCATTCCAAATATGGGACAAACTTATAACGTCAAAACATTTTTTTTTTCTTTAACGTCAAAACATTTACCTCCAAATATACTTTTATACTGGAAAATAATTTTGAGATATTTTACGAGAGATGGAAACAAATTAAGATCTAGAAATGTGATTGGCTAACAAAAGAAGCACACTAAGCAATACAGTGCCATATTATCTCTCAACACAAATTCACCTATCTTTACTTTGATCTCCTGAAATCTTATCTTCCAAACTTGTAATTCTCTGAACCAATTGTAGGCTCCAAAATTTAGACTTTTACCATTTACCAAGTCCAGAGTTCCTATGTTGTCTCCTTCAAAAATGACTCTTGTGTAACCATGACTCCAACAGTTCTGCACTGCCATGATGAGAGATTGATATTCACCTTCCTCAGCATTTGAAGCCTTCACTCTCTTAGCATTGCCAAGATAAAATGCCTTTGTCGTACCGTAATATCCTCCCGCTTTGGACGGTATCTCTGGATTTACAAAATATGCATCATAATTACATTCGATCCATCCTATTTATAATGTTATTGTAGTAAAAATGACAAGAAATGAGTTGTTAAATATATTCGAATACCATATGATCGGATTTATAAGTTATTGTAAATATGTATATGTAATATGAAATTTCCTTAGTAATATGTAAAAAATATATACATAGTAACATAGACACGTACTAAAAGAGGCAACGCGGAGATGTCATTAGAGGAAGAACTAGGAAGCAGAGCGTTAATGCAAATGCTACCAAAAACGTTAATGCAAGATCTCAACTAATCAGCACCGTCCATTTCATACTAAAAATGTAAAAACCAATCAGCATCGTCCATTTTGTCATCTAATTATTTGTTAATTCTTACTTGGCCACAACTTCCAACCACATGACGCTCTTTCTCTTCCCTTTATATATTCGCATCTCAAAAGTTCTTGGAGACACAAAATATCATAAACATAAACATAAACGCCAATCGCAGCTTTTGTACGTTTGGCGTTTTACAATGGAGAAGGGTTTGAAGCGGTCTTGTGTTATGGTGGTGGTCGCATTCTTAGCCATGGTTCATGTCTCTGTTTCAGTTCCGTTCCTAATACTTCCTGAAATCGGAACTCAATGTTCTGATGATACAGTTGGTAACTTCACACAGCTTCTCACTAACCTCTCAGGCTCTCCTGGCTTTTGCTTGTAAGTCAATCCACAACACTTTCTTCCTTTTGACAATCCAAAGATCGGGGCTATTTATGGGTTCTTGATACTTAAGACGTGTAGAGTGACTATTTATGATGATATATTTGGTTTGATCTGATTCTTGTTTTTTTTTTTGGTATGGAATCCAGAGTAATTGGCGATGGAAATGAAATAGCCGGTTCATGGTTAATACCACTTACACAACAAGCGGAGATAGCGTGTGAGAAGGTGAAGCAAATGGAAGAGTTGAGTCATGGATACAACATTGTTGGAAGAGCTCAGGTTCTTGATGCTTTCTTGAAAACCCTAATATCGGTTTATGATTATTATTTACATGTTTCAGTTTCATGGATGTTGATGAATGATGGAACAGGGGAACCTAGTGGCTCGAGGCTTAATCGAGTTCTGCGACGGTGGCCCTCCGGTTTACAACTATATATCCTTGGCTGGTCCTCATGCTGGCATCGCCGTTCTTCCTCGGTGTACTACAGTAAGCTTTTTTATTTCCTCTAAATATCAACTATATATCTTTGATTTGATTTTAGTTTTAATCAATCAATCAGAGTAACAACATTGTATTTTTCTGTTGTTTTTGGTTTTTTCCTTGTTCAAGTCTGATTTACTTTGTGGCATAGCAAATGGGATAGGCAATGGAGATGTCTATAGCGACTTTGTTCAAGTATTGCTCTCTCTCTCTCTATATATATCATATGATTAAATCGTCAATTAGAAAATTAATTAAAATCTTCAATGACTTTTGCAGGATAGTCTTGCTCCTAGTGGTTATTTCAAAGACCCTAAAGTATGTCTCTATTCAATATAGTGTATTAGGAAACTTGCAAAATCAACAAATTAGTAAATAATGATCAAAACAAAACATAATTTTTTCTGTTTCTCAGAATGTGACAGAGTACCTGAAAGGTTGTAAGTATCTACCTAAGCTTAACAATGAGAGACCAGACCAAAGAAACCAAACTTACAAAGACCGTTTCACCAGTTTACACAACGTGGTTCTTGTCCTGGTTCGCTTCTCTTCTCTTAACCATTATACTTTTCTATTATCTTTTGATTCCTCTCTTGATGATTCTGTTTTTGTTTTATACAGTTTCAGAACGATACGGTTATTGTCCCAAAAGAGTCATCTTGGTTCGGGTTTTATCCGGATGGTGACTTAACACATGTTCTCTCTGTGGACAAGACAAAGCTCTATATAGAGGATTGGATAGGTCTGAAAGCATTGGTTGTTGCTGGAAAAGTGCAGTTTGTGAATGTACCCGGTAACCACTTAATAATAGCTGATGAGGATCTCGTCAAATACGTCGTACCTCTTCTCCAGGACCAGCAGTCTGCCGCACCAAGACTCAACCGCAAGACCAAGGAGCCCTTGCATCTTTAAAAAGAGCAAATACCTCAATCGCTATACTAATTTATGCAGTATCGAATAAGCTGATGATTGTGTGACACAAGAATCCTTCTTCTATTATGAATAACAAACATACCTATCTTGAATTATGGAATTAATACGTAGACAAACGATGAATACACAAACGGCTGAACGCATTACGGCATGGGTTGACAAACAGATAAGGAATCGAATCTCAGCCATCCGCCTGATGGGAGACAAGAGATATGAGAAGGTCTATCAATTCTGGATTCAAACCCGAGACTAAGCTATATGTGATCTTTTAAGTTTCCTTTCAGCTACTTATTCAAACAAACGAAGCACTAGTTGTACAAACGTTTATTTTTTCTTTTGAGTATAATTTAACATTACATTCAAAAAAAAAAAAAAAAAACGATGAATGAGATCTTCATCACCAGTTTTCTTCAAGGCTTCAATGATTTTCTCAACATGAGAAACTTTATCTCATTTTCTTATCAAGCATTGTTTTCGCAAGCTTAGCCCATTTATACATGAACGTTGGCAAATCTTTTGCAACCTCTTCAATATATACATGAACAACCAAGCATGCATCTCCTATTCTCGTTGGTGCTTGTTGAAGCAGTATTGATCAGAGTCATCAATAACTTATATTGTCTGCATACAGAAGTGAGTCAATGGGTACATTTAAGTATTCTTTCGATCTAGAAATGTAAAAAAGATTCAAATCTAAGATGTTGCATGGTACTATGGTAGTGTAAGATTAGAGATAAATATAATGTAACTTTGGTTCAAAGATTTTTTAATTCATATAAGGTAAAGGTACCTTGAATTGTATTCGTTATTTTTGCTTGTAGATCTTATAATCTACATAAGCTATTTTTTCTATTTAAATAATCTGTAGATTTAGTAGCTAGATAAAAAGTTAAAATTTAATTTAAAGATTTTATACTTTACAGAAGGAGCACATTTATTTGTATATTTTGTATATTCAGTTGTCAAAATAAAATATAGTCTATACTTTATACAGAGAGCAAATTAAATTTATAAATTTTGTGGATTTAAGAATTAAATATATAGATTTTATGCATTCTCTCTTGTATTTTTTTTAACTATACATAAAACAAATATGATAGGTTATTCTGTAATTCAGATAATATTAAATTCCCAACAATATATTTTCTTGTTATAAGAAGACAATTAATAACTATCTGTCAATGGCAAGTGGTACCAAGTAATTAATGCAGTGGGAGAGTAATGTTGGATATAATAATTTCTTTGATAGCTTATACTCCTATGTTTCCTTACTTCATTTTTCATTCCAAATATGGGACAAGCTTATAACAAAATATTATTCGACTTCGAATGTCAAAACATTTATAACCTCCAAATATACTTTTATTGGAAAATGGTTTTGAGATATTTTACCTGCACACCAAGTAATAGTACAGTGCCATTTTATCCCTCAACACATATTCACATATATCTTTACTTCTTTACTTTAATTTATAGTTTTCCTTTTGTATTTTAAATCACAGTACAAATAGTTTTCAAACGTTAAAGAATTTTAAAATCAATTAGATGCAGCTCCATTAAAAATGATTATTTTTATTATTTTTTGAGCGAAGATAAATAAAATTTATTTATTTATACAAATAAAGTTTTTTTGGAAAAAACATCTGATCTACTTAACATTTTTGAAGTACATTTTAAGGAATCAATCGGGTCGGTTTTTGTTTAAGTTTTTGACCCGGTTTTTAACCCGGATATTAGGCCCTTTCCCTTTGATTCCCCAAAATCTGGCCCATTTGCTGTCTTGCGGATCCAAAAAAAACTCACACACCTATAATAAAACCGTCTGCATAAATAAATGCAAGAATCTCGAGTCAATCAAGCTGTAAATATTATAACTTCCCAAAAATATAGCTTTAAAATAACTGAATCAAAAATATAGCTGTTTCATTCGCATAGTATATTCCGTCTCTATTCAATTACCTATAATGTAGCTAAACTATATATCAGGAATCAATTTGGTTTCCAAATCATTCTTCACCGTATGTAATCAGTTTTAAAAAAACCAACAGTATATGGCAATATCAATTATTGGGCCTTCATTATTTGTTTTGGCCTTTCAGTGTATTTAAGATTTTGATTATATTGTTAATTTGTGTATTTAATATTTTGATTATGATCTTAATATTAAGATTAGATGATATAAACTACCTATATTTTCAATCTATCAACCAAAAAACTATAAGTTTATATAAATCTTTTATTTTCAACTCATATCAACTAAAAAATATTAATCTTCAACTTTATATTAATATTAAGAACAAAATAATATTTTCATCTAAAACACACATACTAATAGAACAACGAAGTGATGTTTCATTACACACTCTATGTTTATATTGTATCCTGACTCATGACCATTAGTGACGGTATACCGAATTAAACAAATTATACTATTTATATAAAAGAAATATAATTATTATGTAAGACCGTGAAATAGACAAACAAATATTATAACTATTAATATCATAACTTACAACTCAAAATAAATCATCCCAACCATTCTACAAAATTATCTAAGAACACAAACAACATACAAAATTATACACTACCAATTATTAATTTATTAAAAAATAGAATTACTATAATATTAAACCTGCGGTGTACACGGTTGTGTGGATATTTAATTCTACACACAACCGACCACAATTATTTTGTAACATGAAAAAAAAAACAACAATACTAAACATAAATTACATTGATCAAAACCAAAAAATTAATTTTTTAATTAAATAATAACCCCGCGGTGTACGGCGGGTCAAATCCTAGTATGTATGTATTAATATAAACCTTATAGTCACAATGAAGGACTTGATTTATCACAGAGGGTACAAAAGTATGTTAATAAAATTATAAATCATTTTTGGCAAGAAGATTAGCTGGTTTATTATAATCCTTTATCACCCATTCAAACATTGATCTCCTCAAATCTTCTCTTCCAAACTTCTCTGATCCAATAGTAGGCTCTAAATTTAGACTTTTACCATTTACCAAGTCCACAATTCCTTTGTTGTCCCCATCAAAAATGACTCTTTGTGTAACCATGACTCCAACAGTTCTGCATTGCCATGATGAGAGCATGAAATTCACTCCCTTAGCTTGACCTGAACCAAGATAAAATTAAATGCCTTTGTCGTCATGTAATATTTATCCCGCTTTGGACGGTATCTATGGATTTACAAAAGATGCATCATAGTTACATTCGATCCATCTATTTATAATGTTACTGTAGTAAAAATGACAAGAAATTAGTTGTTAAACATATTCAAATACAATATGATTGGAATTATAAGTTATTGTAAATATGTAATATGAAATTATCTTAGTAATATGTTAAAAGTACATACATACACACGTACTAAAAGAGGCAACGCGGAGATGTCATTAGAGGAAGAACTAGGAAGCAGAACGTTAATAATGCAAATGCTACAAAAAACGTTAATGCAAGATATCAACTAATTAGCACCGTCCATTTCATACTGGAAATGTAAAAACCAATCAGCGTCGTCCATTTTGTCATCTAATTTTTTGTTAATTCTTACTTGGCCACAACTTCCAACCACATGTCGCTCTTTCTATTCCCTTTATATATTCCCATCTCAAAAGTTCTTGGAGACACAAAATATCATAAACATAAACATAAACATAAACGCCAATCACAGCTTCTGTACGTTTGGCGGTTTACAATGGAGAAAGGTTTGAAGCGGTCTTGTGTTATGGTGGTGGTTGCATTCTTAGCTATGGTTCATGTCTCTCTTTCAGTTCCGTTCATAATACTTCATGAAATCGGAACTCAATGTTCTGATGCTACAAATGCTAACTTCACACAGCTTCTCACTAACCTCTCTGGCTCTCCTGGCTTTTGCTTGTAAGTCAGTCCACACCACTTTCTTCCATTTGATGATAATCCAAAGATCGGGGCTATTTATGTGTTCTTGATATTTAAGACGTGCAGAGTGACTATTAATGATGATGTCTTTGGTTTGATCTGATTCTTGTTTTTTTTTGGGTATGAAATCCAGAGAAATTGGCAATGGAATAAGCGATTCATGGTTAATGCCACTTACACGACAAGCGGAAATAGCGTGTGATAATGTGAAGCAAATGGAAGAGTTGAGTCTAGGATACAACATTGTTGGAAGAGCTCAGGTTCTTGATACTTTCTTGAAAACCCTAATAACGATTTTTGATCATTATTTACATATTCAGTTTCATGGATATGTTGATGAATGACGGAACAGGGGAACCTAGTGGCTCGAGGCTTGATCGAGTTCTGCGACGGTGGGCCTCCTGTTTACAACTATATATCCTTGGCTGGTCCTCATGCTGGCATCGCCGCTTTTCCTCCGTGTAATGTAAGCTTTTTTATTTCCTCTAAATATCAAATATTTATCTTTTATTTGACTTTTAATCAATCAATCACAGTAACAACATCATATTTTTCTGTTGTTTTTGGTTTTTCCTTGTTCAAGTCTGGTGGCATTTGTAACATAACAAATGAGATTATCAATGGAGATGTCTATAGCGACTTTGCTCAAGTATTGATCTCTTTCTCTCTCTATATATCATATGATTAAATCGTCAATTAGAAAATTAATTAAAATCGTTAATGACTTTTGCAGGATAATCTTGCTCCTAGTGGTTATTACAAAAACCCTCATGTATGTCTCGTCTATTCACCATAGTTTATTAGGAAACTTGCAAAATCAACAAATTAGTAAACAATGATCAAAACAAAAACATTATTTTTTCTGTTTCTCAGAATGTGACAGAGTACCTGAAAGGTTGTAAGTATCTACCTAAGCTTAACAATGAGAGACCGGACCAAAGAAACCAAACTTACAAAGACCGTTTCACCAGTTTACAGAAGCTGGTTTTTGTCCTGGTTCGCTTCTCTTCTCTTAACCATTATACTTTTCTATTATCTTTTGATTCCTCTCTTGATGATTCTGTTTTTGTCTTATACAGTTTCAGAACGATACGGTTATTGTCCCAAAAGAGTCATCTTGGTTCGGGTTTTATCCAGATGGTGACTTAACACATGTTCTCCCTGTGTCCCAGACAAAGCTCTATATAGAGGATTGGATAGGTCTGAAAGCATTGGCTCGTGCTGGAAAAGTGCAGTTTGTGATTGTACCCAGTGCCCACTTAATAATTGCGGATGAAGATCTCGTCAACTACGTCGTACCTCTTCTCGAGGACCAAGTGTCTGCCGCACCAAGACTCAACCGCAAGACCAAGGAGCCCTTGCATCCTTAAAAAGAGCAAATACCTCAATCGCTAATTCGCTATACTAATTTATGCAGTATCGAATAAGCTTAGTGATGATTGTGTGAAACAAGAATCCTTCTTCTTATATAAATAAACATACCTATCTGAATAATTGAATTAATCAGTAGAGAAACGACTCATGAGATCTTCATCACCAGTTTTCTTCAAGGCTTCAATGATTTTCTCAACATGAGAAACTTTCAATCTCATTTTCTTATCAAGCATTGATTTCGCAAGCTTCGCAGCTTCCCAAGAATTCCCCTGTTGGCAGAGACCAAGCAAAAGAACCGCATATATATCCGAGTCCATCGTTGATTTCACATCCTCCTTCTCGATTTCTTGATACAGAACGAAACAATCGAGATACCTTTCCGACAAACATAACTCCCTAAAAACATGAGTGCACGCAAGACCATCAGGTCTAATCCCACGAACCAACATCAGACGGAAAATCTTTTCCGCCTCTTCCCATCTTTTCATACGGATTAGCGACACAGTAGCCGAACTAAAACATTCAGAAAGAGAAACACCACCGAGTTTCACCAACTTATCAATCAACTTAGAAAGATCCTTAACATCCTCATCATTCTCCAAAACCCCCTGAATCAAAACACTAGCAGTAACACGATTCGGCGTGCACCCTCGATCCCCCATTCTATCCAATACCAACAACGCCTCTCTAATCCGCTTCTTCTCACAAAACGATTGAATTACCAAAGTATAAGTAACCGCATTCGGACTAATCAATCCACCACCGTCTTCTTTCTCCATTTCCGCCAACAACTCTAACGCTGTCTCCATATCACCAGACTTGCAAACTCCTTCTAGAATCCTCGAATACGTCACAGTGTTAAGCACACAATCATGCTTACTCATCTCCTTAGCTAACTTCCAAGCTTCATCAATCTTACCCGCATTGCAATACCCATTAATCATCGCCGTATAAGTAATCACATCTGGATAAAGATCAACACAATCCATCTCTTTCATCAACATATCAGCCATACTCAAATCTCCTTTATCAGCAAACAACCTAATCACCAAATTATACGCAACAGTGTCTGCGCATAAATCGAATTCAGGAAACTTCCTTAATACCCACAATGCCTCATCAGCGAGTTTCGCTTGATTACACAGAGTCAAAACAATCCACATCGTCTTAACACTAACAAAGCATTCTTCTTTCTTATAAGCTTCAACAACGTCTTTGATCAAATCTGGGTTTGCTCTAATCTTAAGAAAGTCGCAAGCTTTGGTATACATGTAAGGACTGTGTCTATGGCTGGATTGAGTTCCTGCCCATATGAAAAACCTAAGACCCAATTGAAATTGATTTGGATCGCATCTTCTTATTACCTCGTTGATAGAAGAGGAGTCCAAATTTACATTAGCTGAGGCTAAATCCTTCTCGGGATTGCTTGTGCCTCCTTGAAGATGGCCGTATAATCTATCGGCGGCTGAGACAGTTGTGGAAAACCGTAAAGCTGAGATTTTTGAGGGATGAGATAGTAATGAAGGAGGCAACAGACGAGAAATCAAGTGATTTAGCATCTGGGTCGCTATAAGTGTAGCGATCGGTGAAAGATTTCGTTAAGAAAATCGTAAATGGAGGAGGAAACTTGAGTGAGAGAGAGAGAGAGTTTCGCAGATGGAAACGACGACGAAGACTAAACGTATGGGCCGACATAATAATTCAGCCCATTAAGACCCAATAAGAGTTGCTCATACATTTTTGTCAATTAAGACCCGGTCGTAATAAAACAGGAAAGTCGGTCATTTCGTACCCAACCTTTTCAGTAGTGTTCAATTCATACATGAAAGTTTACTATGTGCTAATACATACCCAAGCTTTTAAAATTTTCAAATTTCATACCCAAACTTATCAAATTGTGCGAAATCACACATCTCTTGTCTCTATTGCTGACGTGGATGTCACGTCGTTGATGACGTTGATGACGTGGTTGCCACATCCTTCATGACGTCGTTGCCACGTCATCATCATTTTAAACAAAAATAAAAATTAATTTTTTTTCTCTTCTCATTTTTTCCATCACTATCATCCAACGGAACTGTGATATTTGATGTAAGAATTTAAAATCTTCTTTTCGAGACTGATAACTAATATTTTAGCCAAAACTAATATTTAAACCGAGTTTATAAACTCCAAATTTGCAATTCTTCTAAAAATCTTCAAATCACTTTTAGTAGAAAACATAAACCCTTACAATATATCTTCTATATTAATCAAAAGACATTTTTAAGTTGATAACAAAAAAAGAGAACTTAATTACATATATTACTATAAGAATAAATTGTATTCTAAGAACAAATTTAATATATGTCTTCAAAGATTAATATATAAGATTATTGTAGGGTTTATATTTTTCATTGAAAGCGATTTGAAAATTTTTAGAAAAAGAATTGCGAATTTTGAGTGTAGAAACTCGGTTTAAATATTAGTTTCAGTTAAAATATTAGTTATAAGTCTTGAAAAGAAGATTCTAAATTCTTACATTAAATATATAATTTTTTTCACAATTCCGTTGGATGATAGTGATGGACAAAAAACATGAGAAAATGAAAAAAATTAATTTTTATTTTTGTTTAAAATGGTGATGACATGGCAACGACGTCATGAAAAACGTGGCAACCAGATCATCAACGTCATCAACAACGTGACATCCACGTCAGCAGTAAAGACAAAAGTTGTGTGATTTCTCACAATTTGATAAGTTTGGGTATAAAATTTGAAAATTTTAAAAGATTGGATATGTATTAGCACATAGTAAACTTTGATGTATGAATTGAACACTACTGTATAGGTAGGGTATGAAATAGCCGACTTTCCTAATAAAACACTTACTTTTATTCAATCCGCAAATGGATATCCGGAGTAACGGATCTTGGTAAAACTGACCGATCCGCTAAATAACCGACTTTTTACCTTAGCCTAATATTTATTAGTAAATCATGTGTAAAAAAAATTATTCGTAGCCGCATAATAATTCTATATTCCAAAACAGAAGTATTTTTTTTTTTTGGTGAGCAACAGAAGTATTTGTTTATAAACAAAAATAAAACAAAACGATCTTTAACAAGTGTCCAAATATATAAGAAAATCGGAAAATCTGAAAGAAATAACGTTGCTTTTTATCAGATCTGAACAGTTTATCACAATAATTTATCATTTCGTTAAAACTTGCAATTAAGCTACACTTATAACATGCTCATAAACCGAAACGATAGATTTATCTAGAAAACGTTTGTAAATTTTTGGTCTAATTTAGAACTCGTGTAAGATATCAAAAAGAGAGTTTCATAAATTTGGTTAAGATTGCGAGATTGTAACTAATTTTTGCTAATTTAAATATTTTAAGGTTGCAGATCATACATAGGACTATAGGACTAGTTCATGAGAAGGCCAATCATCCAAAATTACAATGACCCTACACAGATAGACCATAACAATAACAAAAAATACCAAAACACCCTTTCCTCACTAAATTAAAAATCACGATCGTGGACGCAAGGCTTCAAAATTCAGCCCATGACCAACTTGACCAGCACAAGCAACCCACGGGTTGATCGAAACGGGCCTTTGATTATGGTGATGGTTCGATGATGATGGGCCAGCCACACGCTCGCACGAAGGACACATGATGAGCGTAGTGGGTGGAGTCATCTGGCCGTAGAATTGTGGAGACAGCTTGAGAGTACGAAGCTCCATAGCCTCTTTCTGAAGTCTCCGATTCTCTTCCGTTAGCTTCTCTACGCACCGTTTCAAGTACTCGCAATCTACCTCCGTTTGCTTTAACTTGGTTCTGTAATTAAAAACAAAAATCGGAATTTGTAAATTTAAAACTTCTACTCAAGGGTATAAATGTAATTTACAATTTTGGTGTTAAGACAAGAAAATCTCACCTAGCTCTTCTGTTTTGGAACCACACTTCCACTTGTCTTGCCGTCAAGTTCAGCTTCTTAGCCAGAGCTAGCTTTTGTTTCTGTAAAATTACAATAATAACCTTGATTATTTCATGGTAACGATAATATCATTTGATTTCATCGTCTAAAACAGATTTTACACTTACGGGATTGAGAGTGTTGTGTTCTTTGAATGTCTCTTCGAGAAAAGCAGATTGATCTTTTGATAACCTGAGCTTCTTCCTCGACGTTTCGCCGCCGTCTTCTTCTTCGTCGGAGGTTCCACGTGAATACCCTCGATCCGGAGTGATCTCATCGTGATCGTCGCCGGAGCCAACGCCGGTGCCGGAGATTCCTTCTCTCTCACTCCTCTTGCCACTTATGGTGCTTGAGATCGTACTGTTTGGAGACGAAACTCCTGTTTCTTCCTCGCAGTTAGTCGTTGATGGAAAACTATTCACGTCTATTTTGCGAAGATCTGCAAAGAGCAATCATATTTTAGGTTTGAGATCTGTTTTTATTTTACTTGGAAACGAAGAAAAGTCTCATCCTTCAATTTTGAGATCTGTTCTGTTTCTTTAAAACAAAACAGAGAGGAGGTTTGAGATTTTCATAAGCATATACCTGATGTAGGAGCGAATGTTTGGTTCCATGGGTATCTCTGGAGATTGTTTGATAATGAAGAGTTAGGATTCAGATTCAGCTGAAGAGGATTGCTGTTTTGTGAAAACCCTAAGCTTAAGCTCAAACCCAGATCTTCTTTTCCCATCATCATGATTTGATTTCCTCCACAAGAACTCAACAGTTTCAAGAATTATCTTTTCTTAGGAGAATAGAGAAAGAAAGAAAGAACACGAAAAGGTTTTGTTCTTCTGAGTAGAGAAAGAAATTAGCTTGAAAATAATACAGATGGTTTGTTTCAACTCGAAGTTAGGACTCTTGAGGGAGAGAAATAGAGAGAGAGAGAGATGTGAGATGGTATTGAAGAAGAGAGGGGATTAATATAGTACTTTGAATGATGAGAGATTTTGTCAGGTGGCTAATTGCAATCCATCATTATTGTTTCTTTTGTTTTGGACTTCTATTACTTTATCTCCAACTTAATTGTGTCCCCCCCTTTGGCCCTTGCCATGTCTTTCTTTTTGTACTTTCTCAATATTTATGTTTTTTCTTTAACAAAAAAAAAGATGACCACATTTTTAGTTGATTTCTTACAAGAACCCATGTATCATAAGATGGCCAATCTTGTGTCTGAAGATTTAAAGCCAATGTCATTAAAACCAATACAAGTGAATCATCGTGCGATGTTTTGTATATGGATAACGCAGTTTGCACCTTGTGTTAGTTATCATGATTTATATCATGTACTCCCTCCGTTTCTAAAAGATTGATGTTCTACTTTTTGTTATTTGTTTCACAAAGATTGATTTTCTAGCTTTTTTTCTTTATTTTTATTGATTTATAATAATAAATCCTAAACTTCAAGGCGTAATGATTGAAAATAATTAACTTTCTTAAATTACTATTGGTTGATAATTATTTTAAAATATGTAATATTAAAATTAATGTTTAAATGATTAAACAATGATTGAATTCTTAATATACGTAAAAACTCTAAAACATCAAACTATTAGGAACAGAGGGAGGGAGTATATATAGTATCTCAAAGTTGGTAAATATTAAATCTCGTACTTCGTTTTGTCTTAATCAAGTACACGTCATAATAATCAAAGTTCATGCATTATGCAGATGTCAAGAATCAAGTTAGTTATATAGAAATCAAAAGTTTAAAGAACTGCACTTCTTTATTAGATTTAGAAAACTCTCACAAAAACTAAATCTCTCTATTGAAGTCTTGTAGAACAACTCTCTACATAGAACTCTTTATATAGGCATAAGCAACATCCTAAACCTATTAGGATTACAAAACCAATTTCCATATTTTGTAAACCTTGTTTTCCTTTTTTCTAGTTCTCTAGAAACTTCCACTTTCTAAAGAAACTTGTTCCCCAAGTTCTGGAATTATCCAACATTCACCCCCGTAATTCCAACACGAATTGCAGGGTCTTCGATTGCTTGTACTCCGATCAAGTTCCTCATTTCCTTGAATTTGATTCGGGCTAGTGGCTTCGTAAGTATGTTCGCCTTCTGTAGTGTACCAGGAACATGCTCCACCTCTATTTGATCATTCTCCACACACTCTCTAATGAAGTGATATTTCTTGAGAATGTGTTTGCTCCTTCCATGAAAGACCGGGTTCTTGGTGAGAGCAATGGCTGACTTATTGTCAATCCTCAGTGTGACCTTCTCGTTTTTGCTAAGTATTTCTTCCATTAACTCCTTAAGCCATATAGCTTGCTTTGCGGCTTCCGTAGCTGCCATGAACTCAGCTTCGCAAGACGATAACGCGACGTTGGGCTGTTTCTGCGATGTCCACGTGATTGGTGATGAACCGAAGTAGAAGATGTGACCCGACGTGCTTCTTCCATCATCGATATCAATGTTATGACTACTATCACTGTATCCAATCACCTTGCTTGATTCATCTCTCCTGAAAAACAAACCCAAATTGGTAGTTCCCTTTACATATCTTAGTACCTGTTTAAGAGCTTGGCCATGACTCTCTCTCGGACTTTGCATGTATCGACTTAGAACTCCAACAGCATATGCCAAGTCTGGTCTCGTGTGAAGCAGGTACCTCAAGCATCCAATGCTTCTCCTGTATGCCGTGGCATCAATCTCTGGCTCACTTTCTGCCTTTGAGAGCTTTATGTTTGCATTCATTGGAACTTGTGTGGGATTACATGTGTCCATCTTTGTATCCAAGAGAATTCCTTTTGCATAACCCTCTTGCTTTATGCGAATCCCATCAGCTCCTTGTATGACTTCAATTCCAAGATAGTATGTCAATTTGCCTAGATCAGACATCTCAAATTCTCTTGACATATCTTTCTTGAATTGATTGATGACTTTTAATGATGTTCCTGTCACGAACAAGTCATCTACGTATATTGCCACGATCAAGTAGTCTCCCTTATCCCCTTTGAGATACACGGACAACTCTTTCACACATCTCTTGAGGCCCATCTCTTTAAACACACGATTAAGCTTCACATTCCATGCCCTAGGAGCTTGGCGTAGTCCGTATAGTGCTTTGTGAAGTCGGTAGACTCTGTTTTCTTCTCCTTTCTTTTCAAATCCCTCAGGTTGGCTTACATAGACGGTTTCATTAAGGTCTCCGTTTAAGAAGGCCGTCTTGACGTCTAAGTGATGTATCTCCCAACCTTTTGCTGCTGCAAGTGCTATGAGAGAGCGGATGGTTTCGATCCGAGCAACAGGGGCAAACGCTTCTTCAAAATCAATGCCTTGTTGTTGTACATAGCCTTTTGCTACTAGCCTCGCTTTGTACTTGTTCACCGAACCATCTGCTTTTCTTTTGATCTTAAAGATCCATTTTAAACCTATTGGTTTTACCCCAATTGGTTTGTCAACAAGCTCCCAAGTCATGTTTTTCACGATTGAATCTATTTCAGCCATCATAGCTTCAATCCATTCTCGAAGATCCTTAGCTTCCCAATAGCTTTCTGGCTCGCCATCAATGGTGAACAGCAGCTTCTCACTTTCTATGTCAGCAAGAAGAATGTAATCATCAAGATATCTTGGTCTGTTGATTGCACGCCCGTACCTTGTTACGTACTGCTGGTTTTGGGCTTCTTCTTGATGTTCGTCATTATCGTTCTCAGCCTCTGCTTCTTCGTCTTGATTTTCAGGTTGCGGATCTTCTTGATAATCATCATTGTTCACTTGATTATCGTTATTAATATTGCCATCTTCAATAACTCCATTAAGTGTGAGCTTAAACATTCCAGGTTCTCCGCTCTCTTGTTGTGACAATGATGACCAGTCCCAAGCTTTCTTCTCTTCAAATATTACATCTCTGCTTACAAACACCTTCCTCGTGGTTGGGTCGTAGAGACGATAGGCTTTGGAGCCTTGTTCAGTTCCAAGATTGATCACACATCGCGACCTATCGTCTAGCTTCTTTAGATAAGGTCCGGTGATCTTTATATATGCGACACATCCAAAGACTCTTAAATGTTCAATATTCGGTTTCTTGGACATGAGGCACTCATATGGTGTTTGATCTTTCAAAGCTTTTGTAGGGACTCGGTTGATGAGATATGTGGAGTGACGTACGGCTTCTCCCCACATATCATTCGGAATTTTCATTGCCTTAAGCAAACTTCTTGTCATCTCCATCAGAGTGCGATTTCTCCTTTCTACTACACCATTCTGTTGAGGCGTGTATGGTGCAGTTAAGTGACGATTAACTCCGTTTTCTTCACAAAACGAGTTGAATTCATTCGAGGTAAACTCTCCTCCTCTATCGGTGCGAAAAGTTTTAATCGATTTCCCCAATTGCTTCTCCACAAAATCTTTAAATCTTTTGAACCGATCAAACGTCTCACTCTTCTCCTTCAACAACATTGTCCACATGTATCTTGAGAAATCATCAATTAATACGAAAACGTACCGATTGTTTGCTAGTGTTGGCGGTGAGATAGGTCCGCATAAGTCTCCGTGAATCAACTCCAAGGCTTGAGTTGCCCGGTAAGACGCTTTGATTGGGAAAGGTTTTCTTGTTTGTTTCCCAACTAAGCATGCGTTGCAGATGCTTTCCTCTAATTGAATATGTGGCAACCCAATGACCATCTCCTTTTTCACCATGTTATTCAGGACACCAACACTTATATGACCAAGTCGTGAATGCCAAGTCATTGCTTCATCATCGCTTTGTATTTGTAGACACTTTGGAAAGCTTATTTCCATTGGTGTCTTGTAGAGACGGTTTGGCGATCGTATGACCTGTACTAGTAACCTTCCTTGTGCATCACTCAACGTGAGAGCTTCACCTTTCATGTTGACTTCGCACCCGTGTTCTGTCGCTTGTCCCAGGCTTATGATATTGTGCTTAAGCTCAGGTATATAGTAGATGTCTTTGAGTGCCCTCTTATCACCATTCTTGCTTACAAACACTATAGTACCTTTTCCCACAATATCAACATACGACCCATCACCAAACTTCACTTTTCCTTTTATGTTTTCATCTAGGCTTGAGAAAAATTCCTTGTTCCCTGTCATGTGATTACTTGCTCCATTGTCAAGATACCAAATACTCTTGTTATTGGTATCATATACCTTCGGGAATACCTTTTCTTCATTTAGGAACACCACCTCGTGTATGTAAAGCGCGTCAGCTTCTTGTGTTTCATTCAGATTCGTTTCTTGTTGTTCTATAGGTCTCTCAGGGCATTTAGCTACAAAGTGACCAGGCTTGTCACATCTCCAACAGATTATTTTGGATCGATCTCTCTGTTGGTGTTGTTGCTCTGCGTTTTCTCCTCCTTTGTTTTGGCCGTTGGACCTCCCTCGTCCTCTGCCTCTTCCGGAGCTAGTGTTGCCCTGATTTCCTCTTCCATACCCTCCACGGTTGAATCCTCCTCTACCTCTGGCTCCTCCATGCGAGTTTCCATAGCCACCACGGGTATTATTGGAGTTGGAAAACATAAGTTTTCCCTGATCTTCTCTTTGGGTGTTCTTCTTTACTCGATCTTCATAGGCTTTGATTCTTCCTACTATGTCTTCAAAGCCAGTAGTCTTTAAATCAAGTACTTGTTCGAGAGACGCTACGATGTGAATGAATTTCTCTGGAAGTGCTGACAAAAACTTCTTCACAAGTTTTGTTTCATCAAGGATTTCCCCTAGGGAAGCCGATTGAGCTGCTAGTCCTGACATCTTCCCTGCAAATTCATCCACTGTCTCTGAATCTCCCATCGTCAACCGATCTAGTTCAGCTTTTAGGGTTTGGAGTCTCGCTTCCTTCACTCGGTCCGCTCCCTGGTGACGGGATTTTATCGAATTCCATATGCTTTTAGCTAGATCTTGCTCTCCTATTTGTAAGATAAGTGCCTCGGGGATAGATTGGAATATTAGTGCCGTCGCCACATTGTTTTTCTTTTGATCCCCGTTTCCTGGATCAATTGTATCCCATACTTCACTTACACGAAGCATTACCTTCATCCTCATCGCCCAGACCGTGTAGTTCGTCGGTGTTAACATTGGACATTTTATCGACGGAGCTCCAAGGTCCTTCGTTCG